CTCCATTTTATGCACACTCTACACACTCAAACAACATGTTGTAGTATGCTCGGTGCCAGGGCACCGTGAGATTCAAGGCAACGTGAGGGCGGATCAGCTCGCTGCATCCGTCCACAAAAGCACTGCCCCTACACCCATATCAATCCCGGCCCTTGATCTTAAGCCGTCTCTCAAACGAAACCTCAGAGTATACTGGCAGAGTAAGTGGGATACACACACACAAAACAAACTACACGTTATTAAGCCACACCTTGGTCATTGGCTGCCCGTATCGAAATCGCGTCATACAGAGGTAATACTAACGAGACTCAGGATAGGACACACATACACGACACACACACACCTTTTGTCCGGTGGCGATCCACCATTGTGTGACAGATGTGGTGAAGCATTAACAGTCCTTCACATTTTAATTGAGTGCAAACAATTGGACACTGTAAGAAAACAACACTTTCCATTACCCTACCGACAACATATACCTTTACACCCTGCAATGTTCGTCGGTAGGGAACCACTTTTTAGTCACAAATCATTGTTAGCGTTTTTTAAAGAAATTCATAGTTTTCATATCATATACCCGGGCATCCAGTAGCATGACCTCTCCAGAGAGGTTTTTGCTGCGGTGGTTACACAAGAAAGCACTTGCCTCACGGCCCTTGGACGCAAGGGTATGAACGAGTGAGGCACTTGTGCTAATGCCATACATATTCACCATCGTCTTTTATTATCACCAACTTTTGTCATCTATTCACACCACACACACCTTTCACGACATGGTCATGATTTTATTACTTGTATGTTTTTACCCGCCTTACCGCGAGGAATTTTATGATCCTTATACAGCCGCTTATCACAATCATTGTCCATGTTTTTAGTAAGATGAACTGGCGCTCTTTGGCCGTGAAATGGCCCTTGTGCCATAAAACATCAAACATCATCACAAGGCAGCGATGAAACACCACGCCATCAGCGCTTCATTAACCCACCCAGAAGAAGCACTCTCATGTTGCTAAAAATATGCTTAGGGTTCCTCTCCAGCTTTTTTTTCCCTACAATTTGCTTTGAAGTATTGCAATATTCCAAAAATAATTGAGAAACATTAGACAACTATTCAATTCAATTCACACTCACACTTCAATATTCAAATTCACTTTGCACCAAAAATTTTACTATTCGCACAACTCAAGCCATTTTTCTCAAAACATGATTTTTTACACTCTACAGTTACACAAATTATGATAACTTCTCTTCTAATGAATGTTTTTGCATTTTATTTGGCATACCGTATTTTTCAGTTTATAACTCGCACCTTTGTATAAGTCGCACCCCCCTCAAAATGGCAGTTTTTTCGAAAAAAGAAAAACTTCATTCAGGTTGCACTCGTGTACAAAACGCGCCTGTTCACCCAACCATCGAGTGCCGCATCATGAGAAAGCACTGTGAAAATTTATGCATGAGATTGCCGTTGCGTTTGCAAGTTTCCAGCTGTTGGAAGACACACGTGCGAGCTTTTCACAACATACATAAACACAATATTTTCAATGAGAAGTATTTTTATTATTGTGATGCCTAGCAGGGTTTAATCAAATCCATCCAAGTCGTGTTCATCTGATTCGCTCGCGAATAGCGCAGCTATTTCGGGTTTTACTCCTGGCACTTCGTCATCCGGCATGTCACTGTCGTCCTATGACTCGCTCGATTTGGACTCTTCAACATCGGTCACGCAGAAGATCAAACCGGCTTTGCGAAAGCCCACCAAAATGGTCTTATCAGTTATTAAGTTGCATGCTTCACTCACCCATATCGCCACTTTGTCAAACTCAGAGCTTCTGATGCTCCCCATTTTAATGAACCTGTGTTCACCCTTCGGCATCCACGATTCCCACAAGCTTCGCAGAACGGCATTAAAGCTGTGATTAACAGAAATATCAAGTGACTGAAGAATCTTGGTCATGCCTTTGGGTATGATCACAGGCATACAATTCTTTGAACCGATCTTTTTTTTGACGTCGGTCAAATGCGCTCGCATACTGTCCATCACCAGCATTCCTGGCTTCATGTGAAAGAACCTTTCGGCTCGACATGAGAAACAGCAGTCAAGCCACACACCCACTATTTCTTCATCCATCCAATCTTTAGTGTTGGCCTGAACCACCACTATAGAATAAAAAATACCTTTCAGCAAGGGTTTTCGCTTAAAAATAAGCATGGGAGGCAGCTTGGTGCCATCTGCGCAGCAGGCGAGCACAATGGTGATGTGTGATTTTTCGTGGCCTGTTGTCCTCACAGTGACAGTTTTTTGGTCTTTCTCAACGACCCTTCTCCCAAGCGGGATGGATGTCAAAGGTCAATGGCTTTTCATTCATAACATAACATAACTTTATTTTCCTTAAAGTCCATGTTGATGATGTGGCTTGCGCTGACGTTGTTGTGCTTCGCTACTTCCTCTTGCACAAATGAGCTGAAGCGTTCCAGCTGTGCATGGAAGTCGTCAGGAAGCCTCTGACACACTGTAGTGTGGGCTGTCATGACAAGCTGATTCCGCTGCATAAAGCGGAAACACCACGGTGGACCACCACTGAACCTCACAGTGTTAGTCTCCGCTGCCGCAGTCTTCGCCTTCAGGCACAGCTGCACTGTTGACTGGCATCTTTCTTTGGCTCACTGTTGCAGCACCCACGTTTGCCGGCTACGCTCGAGGTCCGGCCAGCATGCCTTCTTGCCGCGGTTAGCCTTCTTTGTAGATTTCATTGTCTGGTGGATGCTGTGGGCTTTGCGCTTGTCCCGGATAATTTTTTTGGTGACATTGAATTCTCTCCCTGCAGCACGATTTCCGCATTCTTCAGCAAATTCAACTGCATGCAGCTTGAACTTGGCATCGAAACTTCACCGACTTTGCTTTCCAGGTGGCGCCATGGTGCCATTGTCAGATTAGAGGGGCTGCTAAGCCTATGCTACGACTCTGTAACGATGCACAACTCACGCGATGCGCAGCAGCTGCGAGTGCTATGGCGGATGGAAGTGACGGCAAAGGAAGCAGCTCTGAAGTCCAAACTCGCCTTTTACAATTTATAAATATAGAAATACCTGCATATTTTCACCCCTCTTTGATTATTTATTTTCTGTGCTAAGATAAATCAGCTGTAATATTTCTAGATAGTTACTTAATTTACCACTATTTATATTTTCTTGTAAACTGCGGTTTCTGTGCATGGCAAAAGAGGCGCATGGCGATATCCAGGCTGCTGAAGCCGCGGCTTCAAACCCAATTTTGACTGTATATAAGTTGTACCATTGTATAAGCCGCACTCACGAAAAAAAAAAAGAGAGAGACTTTTACAAAAAAAATACGGTACTATCTCTTTGTAGGTAGAATGGTGCATTGAAGCAGAATTATTGAAAAGAAGTGACAGCTTTTCATACAATTGCCAATTGTGTGCAAAACTAACCTGCCCAATTATAACCTTCGCAGTCTTCTTATGATTAGGTGCCTTATCTTAGAGATGCAGTGATCGTAGAAGTTAGATGCATGGGATATTGCCCTCGCCATGTCTTGCCAGGTCGCGCTAAAAACGAACTTACCATTTTCTAGTTATGACTGTTCGTGAAACATGCATATTTTGGCACATATTGATTTTCGTAAATTCTAATTTTTACATTTTTACCTATTTCATCATTTTAAAGTTGGAATTCGCCCATGCCCTATAAGCCAAAATCATAATCGTAACCTTTGGACTTCAGCTGTAACGTTTTCTTCTTGAAGGGGGTGACTTACCTTAATGTTGCCAAAGAGTTTATAATTATCTATTAAAAATGGGTATATCAAAACATTTATTGCCTTATATTGACAATAGATTTAATTGCACGAATACTGCACCTTACTTTTCTTTTCACTCATACATTTTGAAATGCAGTATTTGTTCTCTTAAAGGGGTACTAACACATAAACTTTGGCCTCGCGCTTTTCTGCTGCAATGCGCTGCTGGGGGCTTGGCAGTCATGACACGACACATCGTTTGCTGCAGCACGTGACAGATAGTTAATTACAGGCGCCTAATTGTCAATCAGTTTCAGTTTCGGTTTAAGAGAGTTCCAAAAACCGGGTGCAGCTGTCGCCACCTAGCATGTGCAGCTCTTGACCACGTCAGCACACAGAACTGTGACGCACTTCCGCACGGTCCGCATCAAGAATTATCTTTGAATAGGAAACGGGACTGGAATGTTGCCAAACACAATACTTTCTAAGCGTGCACCACGGCCACGCACTCGCAACCAGCTGCTGAGAAATATGGACTTCGGGAACTAACGCGGCAAAAAAAAAAAAAAAAAAGGGCAGCTATGACGTCATCATAACTTGTTTTGTTGACCGCAGCGTGGTGATGTTTGGGAAGTAGGGGGTCACCTCAGGGTCACCTCCGAGGGTGTCTTTTGGGTGCACGTTAAAGAACCCCAGCTGGTCAAAATTTCCGGAGCCCTCCACTACGGCGTCTCTCATAATCAAATGGTGGTTTTGGGACGTTAAACCCCACAAATCATCATCATCATCATCATCATCATCATCATCATCCGAGGTTGTCTATAGCACTATGGAGTCGGTCGCTCACGCAAACTTTAAAATTAACTTAAAATACCTTCCTAGCTATACTCGCTATTGATATCTTGCACATGTTCACGAGAATCGACCACGCAGGCTATCTCGGCCCTGAAATTTTGTGTCAGTACCCCTTTAAATTGAATTTGCAATGCTGTGAGTGCTTGCATTGCTTTCAGTCTATATGTAGAAACCTCATCACCATTTATTTTTCTCTGTAATATGTTAATAGGTTCTTTTGTTCACTTTTGTCACTCTTTATGAAATTTTTCTGCACCTCTATTTTTCGCTAACTTATGTTTTGATATTCTGAGCTCAATGCGCATATTTCATGTGTGTGTCCATGTGTCTTTTTCCATGTCCATGCTTTAAAAAAAAGTGAACCATGTATTGTATCTTGTCAATACAGGGATACCAGCTGTGCAACTGTGGAGACAAATATGGGGGTGCTGACTGTGGCCATGCTCTGGTGCCAGGGCAAGTGTCATGGAGCCTCCTTTTCGAATTGGAACGTCTCACTGGGCAAGTTCAAGGAGCCAGTGCAGGAGGCACCACTGAGCTGCCCCATTCTCGCCTGGGCCACTCGCTCCTCTCTCTTGAACCCAACCAACTGTGGCTGTTCGGTGGCATGGACCCTGCACGGGGGGACAGTGACGAATTATACGTTTATGACCTCGACTTTGACCGTTGGAAAAAGGTGGGCAGCTGCTTTTTTTTCTCTCCTTATTTTCTTCTTCTCTCCTTAATCACTGACAAAATTTCGCATTCTGCTGCGGTCTGTATCGTATCTTCCGTCTTTACCCCATCATAGTTGTATACGAGGTATTAGGTCCTTGAGTTTGATGGTTGCGTACACAAGAACATAGAACTTGTCCATCTGTCCCTCATACTGAGCAAAGATGTGCTCAGTTCCGAATTTGCATCTCTCATAAGTCGTATGTGCATCCTAGAATAACAAACTACAGCTATGCATTTTCTTTTTCTTCATTGTTTATATTTTATTTCATTCATTTTTCATTGTTTACAACCTTATGATGGTAACCCCAGTTGCATTCACAGAGCTGCCATAGGTCATCACTCTGAACCTAAGACCCAGATTTATTGAACTTGAAAGGCATTACAATGTAGTTAATTAATTATACCTGTGATTTGAGATACGAATTGTGCCTACCTGAACCTGATGTAAAAACTATGTCTCAGACAATCTCGTGAGACCACAGAGAGCAAGAATTTACAGCCTTGTTGCTCTAAGACTGCACTGAAGGCATAAATGTTTTACTTATTTCTCATTTTTCACCCTTGCTTTGTCGAATCTGCATATTAAGACTGAGAGTGTATTCACTGTCTTCGTATGACGTGGTAGTCGTCTTTCTAAGAATAAACAGCTGCTGTTGGTAAGCTTCCTGCATCACAGTCAGTTTTCACTGCTACTTTGTGTTATTCTACACTATATTACACTGCTGTATTGCAATATAGCTTATTAAAACAAATGTGTCAAAAGTTCAAATGAGATCTTCCTCTTCAATTCTTTATTTGAATACCTTGCTCATTTTTCCTCCAAGACATGTAACAGCCTTTAGATTCAATGCCCTATTGATAGGATCCGTAATTTAATGGCCTGAACATCACTGATAATGCAAGTGACTGCAGTTTATATGGGAGAAGTGCATTTTTGCAAGAACACAACACTCAGTGTGATACATCATGCGGAGGTGAACATAAGGGCAGTACATGGATACTAGAATGCTGTACTACAGTCGACCCCGCTTATAACGAACCTGAGCGTGACGCGGCATCCGTTCGCTGTATCCCAAAGTTCGCTGTATCCCGAATGAAACACAGCTTTTAAAAAAAAGTTTCGAGTGATAACACAAACTTTTTTTGCCCCAGAAAGTCCGTGATGCACGTGTTTCAAAGAGCAGAAGCGATAAGGGCGGTCTCGAGTTCATTTAAAACGACAGGGTGCTCGTTCGCCGAGGCCTGTGGCATAAGCTGCATGAGGCACTGGCTCCAAAGTTTCGTCGTTCTCACAATCCGATTCCTCCAAATCGCTCTCACCACGTACTTCATTCTCAATACCCCAATCCGTGCACGGTTCCACAGTGTCGGCATCATCATCGGCCGTAATTAAACCATCGCAACAGATGTCCTACCCGCTCTCCCAGGTCGGAGTTGACGACGGGCTGCCACGAATTGCCGCCACAGTTCGGAAGCTTTAGGCTCAGCATCGGGCCCGACGTCAACGAAGTCAACCTCGCAAAAACAGTTTCGCGTGCATGTAGCCGTCACCGCCGCCCACGAAATATTCACCATCTCCACAGCTGAATACCGGGACGCCCGAAGCGGCAAGTTGGCTGCCAGGTGGTCAACAGCTATAAGCAAGCGCTCTGCAACGTGGCACCTAACGCACGGATTACGCTCAAGCCAAGCGGTCACACTTTCAACGTATTGTTGAGCTGCAAGAAAAAGCGTGCTAGTCCTCCCGTCGACGCACACCAGAAGCGAGCAAGACGCGCCCACGCAACACGCATGCCAGAATGTGTTGAACAGCTCTGGGCCCATTTTCAGTCAGAAAACGAAACTAATTCGAGCCAGCATGGCGGGCGTCGCGGAGCGGAGGAGAGGGCGATGGGGTTATGATCTAGAGAGGAGAGCAGACTTGCGAGAGAAGGGCAAGGAGCTGCGATAAAGAGAGGGGAGGATGCGACAGGAGGTGACCTTGAAAACCAAAACACACGGGAAGAAGGCAGGTTGCGTAGCTGGCTTGAAAGGTTCGCGAAACTCGCACGTAGAAAAACTTGGAAAGAGTGCCTGTGCGCGCAAAAATCAAAGCATGGCCGCCAGGATCCGTGCACACGGCAGTGTTCGAAGAATCGGCAACCGTAGTCAAAAAATTGTTTTGTTGCGCCGGCGGGTTTGCGTGGCCTCACGAACTTCAATATTTCGCAATTCATTCCACGCACATTAACAGCCGTTTTCGCGCTTCCGCACGCACATGGAAGGCATGCTGAGCCGAGTGCCAAGTGAGCGAGAATAAGTCCTAAACATGAAATGAATCGCAAATTATCAGAGTTGGTGGGGTAGCATACGCACATGCACTAGACGCAGACTATCGGATGCAGTCGGTGGCCGACGATGTTGGCAAATGGTCTGGTCACTTCAGGCCGGCGCCGCCAACGATAGTACCAGCGATCAAAAACAGGGTAGATGGCCGACCGGTCATCGAAAGATCGGTGGCAGTGCGAAAACACGGGCCTCGTCTGACGATGCGGGGTGCTCAGAGCAGCAGGGGGACAAAGGACGGAGGGGTGCATAACAAAAAGCAGTCGAGGCATGGAGGAAGGAAACAGCTTTCCTTTCTTCATGGGTTGTGGAGAGCGGCAACTAGAGGGTCGCAGAGGCAGGGTCGGCGTTTAACAATAAGAATGTATGGGCAGCTCGCCGATGCCTGATCGGTGATCGAAATTGGTTTCCCGGGAAGTCGGCTGACCGCTGACTTCGAAGTTTTGCTGTAACCGATCAGCAATGCTCAAAGACGTTCGTTGTAAGTACGATTTTGTGCCATTGAACCCATGTATATTTTCACGGTCACGCGGATATTGTTTGTTTCAAGCGAAAGTTCGTTTAAAGTGGGGCCGTTACATGTGGGCTCGACTGTATATCACATGGGATTATTCGACAGGTTACTATATTGTTCTATATAGCTAATAATTTCATATGATTGGGTTCAACATATGTGTGTCATACAACAGCAAGGTACTGTATTTACTCACGTAATGAACGCACTTTTTTTCTTGAATAATGAGAGCAAAGTTAAGGGTGCGTTTATTATGCGGAGAAAATTTTATAGCTTTTTCAGTGTGAGCAGAAAAAAATTCAGTAATGCAAAAAAAATTTTGGTCACTCAGTTTCTCTGTTGCAGTAATTCAGTCATCTTTGGTGGTTGAAGGCACTATCTGCAAGCTATTCCCGCGCTGCCCGTGCACACCATTAAAGTGTTTTGCGGCTATCCTTTCTCACAATCGTTTAACTGCAACAGTGGTATCTGTTGTGATCTCAAGGGGCGCCCAGAAGTGTACGCTTTGACGCCACGACGCATTTAGCCAACTTCGTGGCAACTTCGCACAACAACCGTGCCACCGCCGCTGACATATTGTAGCAAGCAACGAACATTGCAGCAAGCTACCACAGAAGCATTAAAACAAACCGTTCATAACAAGATTAACCCCAAAATAAGGCGGCCGCCTCGCTTGCAACCGAAGCGAGAATCTGGGACCATGTTACAAAAATAGTCACGATTTTTTCTGGGCAACAAGGGATTTCTTTCTGGTTTTCCAGAAACCTGCCACCTGATTGCGACGAATGGCCCTTTGCAGCAGCCATAGCGACAGCAACTGCTGTCGTCGTCGCTCGAAAATAGCTTGCATGTTGTTGGGCCTTAAAGTTTCGTATTCGCAGCAAGCGACCATCGGTTGCACGAAAAGTTGTTATCTTCGCTCTCTATGTGCTGCTCAGCTGCAATGCCTCTACACTCACACTGTTTGTGAGCCCCGCTGTGGCGCATAGATATTTAAAAAAGACTGGGTACGTGCCGCGCACAAATAGAAAAACTATACGGCACGTGGCAGTGGGCGATTGGGGGGTGGGGGTTGAGCCAAGGTGGGTTGTAACGAAGTAACAAAAGAGATCCAACGGGCAAGAAGGCGCCAGTTGTCGGTTAGCGGGACTGCAGTGGATGAATGAAGGAGGTGCATTTATTACGTGGGGAAAAGACAAATTCAAATTTTTATCCAAATTTGACTGAAGTAGGGAGTGCATTTATTATGCGAGTGCGTTCATTATGCGAGTAAATATGGTAAATCTTATAATTTCATATTTATTCTTAGTCAGCTTGTGTAAATAGTAAATTTTAGATTAGAAGCAAATAGTGAGTTTGGTTGAATAATTTCAAATTGAATTCATATAGTGTATATGACATATAAAGAAAAAATTTTATGACAACTTTTTCGGATGAGCTAAAAATGCGATAATGTAAAAAAAAATAATAAAAGTTAGGTTGTTTAGTTTTTTGGTATTGACGTACCCGTACACTGTTTGAAAAGAGCTTTGTTCTACTTCACTCGTCTTTGGTGGTCTTATGGCACTATCTTCAACAAGCTCTCCCTGCGCCGCCCGTGCAAGCCATAAAAGCGTCTCGCGGCTATCTTTTCTAGCAATCGTTTAACTGCAACAGTGGTATCCGCTATGATCTTGAGGGGCGCCCAGAAGCGTGTGCTAAGACTAGCTTCGTGGCAACCTCGCACGGACGACAACTGTGACAACGTCGTTTGACATCCTAGCAAGCAACCATCGAAGCATCAAAACAAGCTGTCAATAACAAGATTAACGACAAAATACGGCCGCCGCTTCGCTGTTCACATGAGGAGTGCGTTCCTTGAATAACGCGCTAATAACAAGCATGAAGAGCAAATTGCAACCAGAGTGAAAATCGGGGGTGCTATCATGTCGCACAAATAGTCACAATTTTTTCTAAGCGACAAGCAATTTTCATCTGGTTTTTCAGAAACCTGCATCGCGATGGCCACGAATGGCCCTTCGCAACAGCAATGGCGACAACAAATCCTGTGGTGGCTCGAAAATCGCGTTCATGTGGTTGGGCCTTAATGTTTCATATTTGCAGGAAGTGACCATCTGTTGGCGCGGGCAGTTTCATGACCTTCGCTCTCTGTGGGCTTATCAGCTGCAATGCCTCTACACTCACACTGTTCGTGAGCCCCGCTTTGGCGCATAGATATTTAAAAAAGACTGGGTACATGCCGCGCACAGATAGAAAAACTATACGGCGCGTGGCAGTGGGCGAAGGGTGAGAGAAAGCGAGCCAAGGTGGGTCATAACGAAAGAGATCCAACGGGCAAGAAGGCACCAGTTGTCGGTTGCTACCTCTGAAGTAACGCAGCGGTAGATTAAAGGTGATAAGGGCATAAGAAAGGCATGAAGTGTTGCAGTGTTCATGTCACTCTTCGCTTATGACTATCATGAAGCGGACTTGAGCACTTGGTTTTCAGGTGGCCTCAAGCAAACCTTTGATGCTCACTTCCGCTTCAGCCAACTGTGCCCTAATTAGTTCATTCACTTGTGTTGCAAAAAAACATACGCGAGTTTTTTCACGGAGAGAAATGTGTTGTACATATATCCTGGTTGGGAAACCGGTGTGCTGTTTTTTTGGTTTTTTTTATTATGCAAAGTCTCGGGCGGGAAGAATATTTTCGATCCTACTTGAGATTCACACATAGCACCGTTGTTTTATAGTTCGAGCACCTGACCTGTTTTGTTTATAAGCCATTATAAGATCACAACGCTAATGTTTATGCTTACGGAGCTGTTCAAGAGCCCTCCCCCCAAACTCTCTTTCCACGATGTCTTTTTTTTTTTTTCAAGAGGCCCCCCCTCACCCCCACTCCATCGCAGAAATCTCTTTACGGATTCAGCACCGAAGTTGGCAGGTATGCCAAAGCAATGTTTGTGTGGTTGTGTGGAAGCATTCAAACGCTGGTTTGCATTATAAAGAACACATTGGGTAGTAAAATACTTTTAGGCTGTAACTGTACCATGTGTAGACTCCACAGTCTGGTAGCGAAGTTTGGGCAAAACAATGTGAAAAACTTTGTATAAAATACAAAAGGCAGTCGTTCACCAGTTGGAACGTTGAACTCTGGTTTCACTCATTTCAGCTTAATGTGTCACGGGACATGGGCCAAGCTCCGACAGCTCGTCGTTTCCATGGAGCTGCCATGGTAGTTGGAAGCATGTACATATTTGGTGGCCTGAATGCTACTGGTGTACTGGGTGACTTCTGGAAATTTGCGACAGACTTCTACACATGGACTCGTGTTCCTGTAAGTGATAGCCACAGCACTGCCCTTTTGTAGTATTCGGAAGGCAAGGTGTGTGGCTAAACTTATTGTCTTTCTGTTTAAAATCGATTGCATGGTTTTTCAATTAGCAGTGATTTTTTTTAACACCAGTTTTGTTTGTTTGAGAAGAGAACTTGTTATTGGGCTAATGAAATAATGAAACTTACACCACACACATGCAGATAAAAAAAATGCGAGGGGCTGCAGTTGTGTGGTGGTTACTTTATTTAGGGACTATGACGGTTGCTTTATTTGGTCCGCAGTTGCACCATGCTACAGTAAAACCTCGTTATTTTGAAGTCACTGAGACCAGGAAAAAGCTTCGAATTGAGCAGGTTTTCAAATTAATGAAACATGCCAAAAGTGGGGCACAAGGAACTTTTAATTACCGTATTTACTCGATTCTACCGCGCCCTCGATTGTAACGCGCACCCGATTTCCACCGCGGAAAAAAAAAAAAAAAAAAAACGTAAGACATCGATTGCAACGCGCACCCATTTTTCTCGCTGGCCCGCACGATCACACCACTCGAAAAAACAACTTTTGTGAGCGTCTTTCATTTAAATATGAAGTACGGGCGAAGCTTGTGCCCATCTGACGTGTAACAGAGCATTGCCGTCACTGTAGTTCTACCGTGGACCGATGTCAGCACGCGAACTTGCTTCACCCCCTTCTTCTCGACGGTTGTGGTGCCAGGCATGTCGAAGTAAAGAGGCGTCTGATCGGCATTCCCGATTTGTCCAAGCAGGTAGCCGTTGTTGCGCCGCAAGTTTAGGACGAACCTCTGAAAACTGTGAAGCTTTTCATCGTACTCCTCCGCAAAACTTTTCGCATATGCATGTTCCCCTTCGGAGGGAAAAGCCTTTCCTCTTCATAAAGTTAGTTAGCCAGCACCTGCTCGCTTTAAACTGGCTCCGCATTAGACCTTTTTCTAAGACTAATTGCATAGCCCGCACTTGGAGCAGTTCTGTCGTCACGGGCCGCTGTGCCGCTCGCTGCTCAAGCACATACTCGCCGAGCAGCTCTTTAATTTGCGGAAACCGACCCTGTTGTGGTCCACTGAAGCCTTTGCGTGAAGCTTTGCTGTCGACTATCTTCTGCTTTTGTTTCCGCCGGTCCCGCACGCACGTTTCAGGAACTCCGAACGACCGCGATGCGGCCCGATTTCCGTCCGTTTCTGCACACGCGATGACTTTTCTTTTAAAAGCGGCATCGTGGTGCACTCGAGTTTTTGGAGTCGGCCCTTCCACGCCGTCGATGCTAATGCACTACTAGATGACGAACTCCTCAGCACACGTACGGAGTGCCGCACATGGGAAACACACAGGCAGAAATGACCGACGCGCCATGCCGACGCACGTAGGGGGCGGCCATTTTGGATTTGCCGATGGCAATAGATTGACCGTAATTTTTTTGTTCGTACTCGATTCTAACGCGCATGCGATTTATGAACTCGCTTAACCGGAAGAAAGGTGCGCGTTAGATTCGAGTAATTACGGTACTGAAAGTAGTCAGAGGTGGTCGTTTGCCGTGTCGGCTAACTTTGAGCTCGAAGTGTTATGTTTCCCGCCAATAGCTGGGCACAATCTCGCCATGAACACAGATGAACGGCGGGCAACGCTGCTGGCCGCAAAAAAGCAACAAAAAAAAAAAAGTCTCGTGGTCAATTGAAATCTGAGCCTGCAGAAAAGACGTGCTTTTAATGAAACTATTTGCCTATTCTTTCTGGTAAAACAAATAGTTTAGGAATGGCCAGTGCAGTGTAGTTGCAATATGTTTTGGTTGGAAAACATGATTATTGAAGTTTTCGAGCTGAGTTCTAAAAGTGGGGATTGCAGGCAGAAGCTCTGCCAGCTGTGCAATTGCGCAAATTGTTGGAGCAACCACCAGTCATAACTTTGCATACATTACGAATTGCACCAGAGTAACCTTTACTAATTTATTTATATTCCCAGAAAGAAAGGGGAAATCATGATGCGCTGATGTTGCAAGAAACACGTGATCTGTTGTCTGCATGTCACTACTGTAGTGCACTGAAGCATGTCTTTTGCGCAGGCGCACATTTCAATCAATCACAATACCGGCCTTCGTTTCTTTTCTTTTTTTTTTACACTAGCAGTAGCATGGCTGGGGTGCTTCATCTGTCACTCATTAGCATCACTGCTCTGCATTGCCTTGTGGTTCCTAAGGGCCACTGTCTTCGTGGATTTGTGGCTAAATCGGGATCGGGAAGCGGCACAAATCGCACTCAGAGTTTGCAAGTTGACCGTCTCTTCAAATTATCTATTCAAACTTTTGTTGCAAAATACGAGACTGCAAAAATTTTTTGAATTCAGCGTGATTTCAAAATAAACGAGTTTGAATTAATGAGGCTTTAGTGTATAATGCACAGCTGTTGAAGTTTTGACTGTGCATGTGCACTTACTTTCGGAATTTTTTTTTAAAGTGAAAGTTCTGATGAGGTCACAACAACAGTCATTTTTGGTGCTGTTGTAGTCCGCCTCTAGGGTTCGTGTGGTCCATCTGGCTTTTTTGCTTATTATTTTTGGTAATAATCCCCAAAAGAATAGTGTAGACTAGACCACTTCTGCTGAATTTCGAAAATTTGAACTTTCATTTCAATTCACCCATTGCTCATGCATGGGTACCATGCACTGCATTCCGTGTGTTCTGTTCATTTAATGTGTGTTATTTATCTTTCCCAGATAAACATTGAATATTGTTTTATGTTTAGTGGCATAATTGTAATGACATTTTTACCAGACAACTCCAGATGTGCCAGCCTTAGCTGGCTTGACCCTGACCAACGTGGACAACCAGCAGCTGGTGCTCATTGGAGGGTTTTCTCCCGAGTATGGGTTTCAAGACAAAACACTTGCCTACAGCATTGATGCCATGGACTGGCGGGTCCTCAATACTACAGGCACTGTCCCTATCGGTGAGTATACTCGTTGACAGTCAACTTTTTTTTGGCGGAGCCAAACTGAGCGGTTGCCACTGCTGAAGAATGTATTACCAATTTGCTTCCGTGTCTTTCGCATGAAGAAATCATAAACACATCATCTCTTAATTTTCTACCGGATGCTATTCATAAAAAAGATGCAAAACAAACCAAGGAGATACTCATATTTATTTTAATTTATGCAGTGTCATTTCGAGTTTTCTCACGTATGAAAATGTTGCAAGTTTTACGTGCACCTCAGAGTTAAAAAGGCGTCTTCGTCTTCAGATGAGTGCTCTTCGCCCGCCAGCTATTTCGACGACTCACCGAAGATGATCGTGAGGAATTTTACTCACAAATGACTGTTTAAGGAAACTAAGTAAATTAAATGCAATGTTATTATACGAACACGGCCGTCATTCAAAACGCAAGCTGCACCGGACTACTTGCATGTGCTGTCGCTTCGCCCCCGTAGCTTTCAATCCCCTTCATTGCTGAGAAAAGCTGTCCGTGACTATAGCATGTTTTGTCTCGTCTATATGAATGAAGTAAGCATGATTTTGTGAACTTCATTCCTTGCCGTTGCCTGCATTGATAGAAAGCTCTTGAATTTTTTGTGCTATTCTTGAATGTGCTCCATGTGCCCAACTTTTTTTTTTAATTGGCATGTACAGTCGAACGTCAATTTATGTTATAGTCAGGACAATACTTTTATTATATTAAATGCTGATAAGTAATTGGATACTTTTTAAATGAGTAGTTCATTGCAACATAGTTTGAATGTATTTCCTTTTGGAAACTAGCCTTTGTGGTTCAAATGATGTCTTTAATTTTTGTGAACATGTGAAGACCTATGCCAAGCTATTACAGTGAAATAATGGTTAAGGTAAATTGCTCAATTAAATCACTGCTTGTACACAACGACCACTTTTAAATTGATTGGTATGTGTTTTGTTTCAACATGACGAGAAACACTTTTGGTAATTGGCGAAAAAGTTGTCATGCTTCAGTGTAAACGAAACCACAGATGTAAGACACTTCAAGGAGCATTGGGTCCACGAAGTGTCATATATCTGTAGCACAGTGGTAATGCGTCTAATACAGTAAAAATGGATCTGCTAGTGAGGTAGCCAGTCAATTACCAAAGAGCAGCTCAGTGAAAGATTTCAACAGTATGGCTGTTGTGGTACTTTGATGTCCCTTATGAGCTGATGCGAATGTCAGATTTTTTCAATCTCAGAATTTGGTCTAGAGCATAGTGTAAAATCATCTAAATATAGCCTCCTTCTAATTTGGGATTTCAGTTGAAAGTTTGCACACCACTAATGAGTCTTTCAAGTACAGCTTTAAAAAATTACCAATGAGTTAGATGTTACTTCTCAACTAGGTTTAGATGTTTAAAAAAAGTCGGGGGGCATTATACTTTGTGACAAAAGATATCTCTTGAAATTGCTGAAAATTGGTGGGAAGAAGAAATTAGGTCTTGTTAGTGTATATACTGCCAAAATTAAGCTCTCTGGTGAAAAGTGTTGAAGATAAGAATGAGCTCTGGTGTTGCCATATAAAAAAGGCGTCAGACAATGAACAGTCCTAGCACAAAATTAAACAAGCAGAAAGGTTCTTTGTCATTTTTTGCTGTAAACACCGTAGTGCCTCTTGGATGCAGGTGTATATGGACATACCAGCAACTACCATCAGCCAACGCAGAGCATCTATGTGTTTGGAGGCATTGTTTACTCAATAGATCGACCACTGGTGTCAGACCACCTGTACGTGCTGCACATGCCTAGCCGCCGCTGGTCTCGCCTGCCACCCGATGACCGTGCTAACCCAGCATACTCTAGGGTAAGCATGACAGTGTTTGGCTGATTTTGCTGAGAGGAACTGATTTCATGCGCATGCAGATGAAAATGTTGTAAGCATGCAGTCAGCACAGTCAGCAACAATGTTGCTCATTTAAAATTCAATTGAACAGTGCTGAAAGGTGGCAAAAATAGCTAAAATTTTTGTAGCTAGCTTGTGACAAGACATTTAGCAAAAGAAAACAGTGCTACAGCAGGAGACAATACAAGAAGAAACACATATACTTGGTGCCATGTCAGTGTGTGTCTTGTATCATTCCATGTTACATCACTGTGCTTGATAATGAACCAACAAGCCCAACAAAAATAAGTACAGTAAAGCCCCGTTAATTCAGACTTCACAGGACCGGAGAGAATCTCAGAATTAACTCAGGGTACGAATTATCGCGAGTACAAACAAAACACTTGAAAAATGTCTCCTACACTACCAGACTTTTATTTCTTAAAAAAGTCGGTGATCGCAGTTTGCTTCATGGACGCAGTGTGCGACGAAGTCATAATATTGCGAAGTTCCTGCAGGTGGCTTAGTCTGCTCACACTGTCCGAGGAAAGCATGCATATGTCCACCAAAATGGCCAACGCATGCACAGCCTCCGTCATAGTGTGGCGTGGACGCTCGTGAGCATCACTTATGTCCTCGTCAGCCGATTTCCCTTCGCCGTCCAAGACTTCAGCGAGGATATCGCTGTCGGTCACTGTGCTGGCCACGGCAACATCACTGTCGATTGCGAAGTAAGCATCAAGGGGCACATCAGCTGGCATGATGCTCACATTGCGGCCGTCTTGCTCTTCGCTGGTTTCCTCATCGGCCACCACACCCGGATCAGCAGCATCGTGCACGAAGCCGCTATGCCTAAAGCAGTTTGCGACTACTGCAGGCGGTGTGTTGTTCCACACGTATGTCAGCATGTGGATTGGGTTTAGCAAGCTTGCTTCATACTGCTTGCCTGACTCCGTACAGAGCAACATCCGCTCGAGTACCTGCCGTCGATAGCGGCTTTTCGCGAACTTTATGATTCCCTGGTCTTTCGGCTGCAGGGAAGCCATTGTGTGCAGAGACACGAATAGCAGTTCGTTGTTCTCAAGCTCGACCACCTTCGTGTGCGCACTACAGTTGTGTAGCACGAACAACAGCTTCTGAGCCTTGGCTGCAAAGCGGTGGTCAAGCTGACACAGCCAGGCTTGAAAGAGTTCGGCAGTCATCCAAGCCTTTCTGTTGAACCAGTAGTCGACAGGCAGCTGCTTAATATTCTTAAAACATCTTGCCTTCGCAGTCTTCCCGATAACCAGTAGCAGCAGCCACTCTGTGCCGGTCATGTTAGCAGCCAGAAGAACTGTCACGCGTTCTTGACTTCGTTTTTCACCGATGCATGGGTCCCCCTTAAACGCGATTGTCTTGTCAGACAGAGCCTTATAGAACAGCGCTGTCTCATCAGCATGGAAAATGTTGCACGGCTCGTATGTAGAAAGGCGCTCGAATAGTGCAGACCGCCAGTCCTGCACAACACTTTCGTCAACCGCATCTCTTTCACCACACACGTTGCGGAACACCAGCCCGTGTCACTTCTTGAAGCGGTCGAACCAGCCTTCCGACGCACTGAAGGAGTCAATTTTCATGGTCATTGTGAACTTCTCTGCTTGTGCGCAGATAAGGGGGCCGCTCAAGGGAAACGCGCATCGCGTGAAACGGCAATCCAGCGCAACAGCGCTTCTAGCTTGGGGTGCGCTGCCGTTCGAAGCCTCTTCCTTTGGTCACCAAACATGTGCCCGTCATACGCTTGCATAATCTGCTCTTCGTTTTTCACGTAAGTGCTCAGCGTGCTTTTCTTCACATTGAACTTTTCCATCACTTCGTTTCGAGATGCTCCTGCCTGCAACGCCTTCAATATGTTCACCTTCGCAGCGAAATACTTTGCTTCGTACTTCGCCCTCTTCGCTGTGGGAGTTGCGGCGGTTGGGCCTGCATGAGACTGAGGGAAAGCCACCCGCCGTCGCTCGTGGTGGTCACGTGGGCGCACACGAAGTAGACATCACAAACACACACAAAAAAATGCACGGTGATAAAAACGAAAGAAAAACCGGCGAGCTTATCATAAAAAAAAGGCAAACAGTAAGACTGCAGATGGCACTGATCACGTACAGATAAATAATTTAAAGCACACTGGAGGTGAGCAATCCAACTCAATCGTCAGGCAAATGCGTTTGACGCGCAAGAAAAAAAAGGAAAAGCGAATCCATGGGTTGCCTGTTGCTGATTACAGTAGCGATGCACTGTCTTCCATTTTGGTTGCTTAAACCACCATGTGTGTGTGTGTGTTTTTTGGGGGGGGGGTTGCCTCTGAGATCTACTACCCATGGTTGAAGTTTTGAATCTCAGAGGCCGCAATTCGATCCCAAAGTTGTTTAGGTGCGCCGTCGATTTGGCCGACAGAATCTGCTGCTGCTTCCCTGTCGTGACTTGACCGTGGTCGGGCATTTGAATTAACCAAAGCGCGGCTGAATTCGTCCAAAATAATGAAAGTTTTCAGTCATAGAACAATGTACATTTTGGACAGGACCAGAGGTCGTGGCCGAATTGACCGAAATTCTGAATGAATGGGGGTCGAATTAACAAGATTTTACTGTATACTGTTACGATTTATAAATTCAGAAATAAGTATACTGTTACGGCTAAAAAAATGGTGCTTTATGTGCTGAAATTCGCTTGCTATTTGTTTTTAAAATTTATTTTGGAATTTCTTTTTGTTTTTTGTGCCTGTCTAGGTATCTCCCCGCTACTTCCATGCTTCAGCCTCTACTGAAAACTCTTTGCTTATCCTGGGTGGCCGCAATGGTTCTGGAGAGGCAATCTTGGAGCCATTTGCTTATGACTTCAGCTGCAATCATTGGATTCCACTTGATGGGCCTTGTAAGTGCTTTTAAATTAAGCTCTTGTGAATTATGGTATGGTATGGTATAGCATGCAGGGGTGGAACAGCTGCACCATTTGTGTCATTGTGTGCCAAACTGGTTTACCCGTGCCATCTTGCATCAAACCAGCCCCTGTTGCACTAAACTTGCTTATCAGCGCCGTACTGCACTGCAGCAACCCAATTTTGCTGCAAGGTGTCCCCATGCCTGAAGTTTTGGCTGAAACATTGTGCTTCCAGTTTCACCAAAACAGTTATATGAGCGGTTATGTCAAGGCTGTGATCACTTGAGCCGCAGCTGTGAACTTTGAGTGTAAGGTCGAGATCGATGGCGCACACACTATCTCGTCATCACACTCTACCCTACTCCCCAGACGTGTGACACATATCCGTGGGCGCATGTGCCACGAACACATGGGTATGGGCCACAGGTGATTGACATTTTATATATACCTAGGAATCGCGACAACAAACATGGGTAATTTTAGTGTTTGAGCATTAAGAAAAAGCTGACATCAGCAGCGTTGAACAACGAATCGAAAAGACAAATATCAAGGTCGCAACAGGAATCAAACCCCAGCATTCTGTGTGGCAATCAAGTATTCTACCACAGAGCCACGGCAGGTCTTGGAACTACTTTTCAAAAAGTGCCTGATGTTCGTGAAATGTTAATTGTGCTTGCATGCTGGCCATTCAATTTTATAAATATTACATGCGCACTCCTATGATGAAGCTGTCACATCGGTTTAATTTCAATTGTAGATAGGTGCCATCCACTGAAGTTGATTTATGAAGCATTGTCCGTAATTACCAACCTCGCGAGCATCAGCACTTCATATCAGCTTACTGCTTCTGGTGTTGCTAATATCCATGTGGCTGTTGGAATCGTTATGCAAGTCTAAACGACTGGTTATATAAAGCTAGGCTTGTGCAAATATTCGAATGCTTTAATTATTCAAACAAGTAATGCAGTATTCAAATTGGCTTTGAATTGAATTTAAATTATGTGGGGATCTGAGGCGCGCCCGTGACCATTTCGCGAGCATTCCGCCGCATGGCCACACCCTTATGCTCTTTCTGCTCTGATAACGGCGCGTGGCGATAGATGGTGCCACGTGCGGGCACGGCACGCGGTACGCGCGCGCCGAGGGAGTGCTCTTTTTTCCGTGGTTGGCGCCGAGTAAGCACGTGTTTTCCTTCGTCCGCTTCCCCTTTGGGAATCGCCGGACTGTAACCTGCCTGGGGTGGCCTTTGGCACCTTGGCAGGCGTGTTTACTTGAGTGCTAGCTTCGGTAGCGTAGGCTAAGTCCACAGCGGTGCCTGGTGCTTGAAGTGGTCGTACCACACCGAGCTGCTCTTGCCGTAGGCCTACGCATACGAGGTTTGCCCTACCACTCGCGACCAGGCCCATTGGCCATCGTGAGAGTGCGCAGCATAGCCGTGAGGGACCTTTTCCCGACCGGCGTGTCAAAGCTCGCCATTGCTAGCTGTGACGTGCTCGCGGTTTTCCCCTTATTGTGAACGTCCACGTGCGGGTGCCTTTGCTACCCGCGTCCCGGGAGCGGACGTTGCACTGTTGTTCGGGGTGTCGCCAGAGGCAATAAAATGTTGTGTATTTTGCATTAGAACACTGTCTGTTTGCCACGCCGCGCTAAATGCCTTATTAGTTGAGTTTGTGAGCGACACACAGTGGAAGACGCAGCGTCGTGTTTAGCGCGACCTGCCCCTGGATCGTGTCCCGTGGCCATTCCGGGGCTGCACACTGGCGGACAGCGAGAAGGCAGCCGGAGGCGCCCAACTGCCTACCCACGTTGCGGTGGAGTTCTGCGCCACGTGCCGTGTGACCCTGCACTTTCAGTGCCACTACAAGGATGCCATGCACGTGGCGCGGACAAAGGCGGCCGCTGAGGGGCTGGCCACCACGAGGAAGGCTTCAAAACTAGCCCCGCTAAGCCAGCGCTCGGACACGGACCTGGCGGCCCTGTGCCGACAGCAAATGGGGGAGGACCCCCATTTCGCGGCACTGCTGTCAGGGCTGCCACCGCCCGCAACCAGCGACGGGCCACTGATGGACGGCGTCGCCACAATGGACGTGGACCGTCTTTTAGAACTATAAGGCCACGCAGAGCCTTCCCCCCCCCCCCCCCCCAGAACGCTGCAGCAGGCCAAATTTATGTTTTTTTATTTCTGAAGTGTATTGTGTGTTGTTCTTTTTTTTCTTCAGCAGCAGTTGCAGAGCGAGGCTGAGGCTAGGGGTTGCCCATTTCATGACGTCTTTGCATGCATGGGCGACAACCGGCTGCCTTTGCAGACCGGTATATAGGGTTAATTAAGGAGAGGAGGATGTGGGGATTTGAGGCGCGCCCGTGACCATTTCGCGGGAATTCCGCCACACTGTCACACCCTTTTGCTCTTTCTGCTCTGATAGCGGCGCGTGGTGATAGATGGCGCCACGTGCGGGCACGGCTTGCGGTACGCGCTCTGAGGGAGCGCTCTTTTCTCCGTGGTCGGCGCTGGGTAAGCACGTGTTTTCTTTCTTCCGTGTCTCCTTTGGGAATCGCCGTACTGTAGCCTACCTGGGGTGGCCTTTGGCACCTCGGCAGGCGTGTTTACTTGAGTGCTAGCTTCGGTAGCGTACGCTGAGCCTACAGCAGTGCCTAGAGCTTGAAGTGGTCGTACCACACCGAGCCGCACTTGCCGTAGGCCTACGCGTACGAGGTTTGCCCTACCACTCGCGACCAGGCCCATTGGCCTTCGTGAGAGTGCGCAACATAACCGCGAGGGACCTTTTCCCGACCGGCGTTTCAAAGCTCGCCATTGCCAGCTGCGACGTGCTCGCGGTTTTCCCCTTATTGTGAACGTCCGCGTGCGGGTGCCTTTGCTACCCGCGTCCCGGGAGCGGACGTTGTACTGTTGTTCGGGGTGTCGCCAGAGGCAATAAAGTGTTGTATATTTTGCATTAGAACACTGTCTGTTTGCTGCGCCGCGCTAAACGCTTCATTAGTTAAGCGCGCACGGAACGGTGCGCTACACGCGAGTAAACGGAGTTGCGGCCCTGTGGCTCGCTAAGCGTGAACCCGCGGTGATCATCCGCTGCAGTTAGTAGCGGGGTCACCATAATTATTAAAAATTTCAAGTTATTCGAAACAAACGAATAGATGCATATTAATCCGCATGTGACACCTTTTAATGGTGGTTTCAATGCTACGAAGTGGTGTTAAGCCGTGAAAGCACCTATTGATTGATATGTGCGGTTTATCATCCCAAAACCACCACATGATTATGAGAGACGCCGTAGTGGAGGACGCCGGAAATTTCGACCACCTGGGGTTCTTTAACGTGCACCCAAATCTGAGCACATGGGCTTACAGCATTTTCGCTTCCACCGAAAATGCAGCCGCCGCAGCCAGTATTCGATCGCGCGACCTGCGGGTCAGCAGTCGAGTACCTTAGCCACTAGACCACCGCGGCGGGGCGAGCATCTATTCAGATGTAGTGCTGAGCTATATGCTCAGCAAAGTAGTGCTGAGCTATATGTGAATACACATATCCAGGGTAAATCTGCTCTGCCGTGAAGCCCCACTTCAAGGTTAAATGAGGATATATTACCCCCAAATCCATTTATTTTGTTTAAGTTTAAAAAACTGACTTATATGCTCCAAGTATGGCAAAATTTAAAAAGTAACATATTCTGCAGCTTATCACTGACATTATGTCGAAAGTCAAATCGTGCTGCTCATCAAAGTTGTGTCTACCTTCTTTGATGAAAAAAAAAAAAAGGCCATTTGCACATGCTTTGTTTCAATTAAAAAAAAAATATTGTGCTGGTTAGTTAGACTGGGACAAATATGTGGTCATTTTTCCTTATAATTTGTGATATATATATATATATATATATATATATATATATATATATATATATATATATATATATATATATATATATATATATATATATATATATATACAGGGGTAATGGCACAATGGGAGCGTTGTCAACAAGGATAATATATTTCCCAACAGTTTCGGGAGGACCCCTCCCGAAACTGTTGGGAAATAAATATATTTATCCTTGTTGACAACGCTCCCGTTGTGCCATATCCCACTCCTTCACGAAGACTAACTGGCCCATTGATTTATTACTACCACTATATACATATATATATTGAAAAGGGGTTTATTGGCGACTGTTGCTATGGTGGCCCTACGATGAAAACACGATCGGGGCAGAGCAACGGTCAAGCAGATGCCGGCGACGATCAGCATGAGCCGAGCAAGAAAAGCCCAGCCCCCAGTACCCAAGCGGTGGCAATGTTGCTTGCCAGCGATGCGCTTTCTTCTTCACAATATATATATATATATATATATATATATATATATATATACATACATACACAGTACAGACTGTTTATAATGTAAGTTGCGAGAGTCTCGTCACAGACTTCAGCCAACGAAATGAAGGTTTTTTAACAAAGTGACATTCTTTTTAAATGTACCGTGTTTTAAATGGTTCGTAGATATTTGCTACACATCATTTGTTTTAATTTTTAAACTAATAACCTGAAATGAAACAACACTTGTACTGGGGCTCTTTGGCCTTAGATGCCCTTGCGCCGATAAAACTTAACGTAATAATAAATAATAAGTCTCGAATATCCGCACTACAAGTGGTACCGCACTATAATCAAAACAACCTCTTTCATGGGCCGCACTTGTGCGAAACGTGTTTAGCATGCAGCTTCGCATGTCCGCATGTGATACGCAATGCTCATAAGCATATACATTTCCAAATGTTAAACAAAACTAGAGTCTTAAGATACGCATTGCCAATTAAATGAATGCAAAACTGGGGTGGAGGTCTAACAAAAGAAAATGCCATCACGGAAATTCGCAGACTACTGCTCAGACCGCCTCGATTAGGTGAATTACAAAGAAACCATGTCGAATAACGTCCAGAATTTCATTTGCTGAAAGACTTCAATCATTTGATTTCACAGGCGTGCACTTTATTTAGGGACATCGCAGTCTAATCGTGAACCACCAATTGAGCGCTTCATTTGCCACACTCTTTTTAATTATGATATTTATCTCTTCTCGTCAAGTTTCGTTGATTCCATACCAAACCACAGCCTATAAATAGCAAGCACCGCTACTAAAATGCATCCAACGCTGATTAGGCCTAGCCTGCCGTTCGGTACAACGTTGGTTCGGTATGTTGTTGCGGGAAGGAGGTTTGTCCAAGGCATGAATATGCACCATTGGAAAGATTGCACTCAAGCACTGAACCAAAAGCAGCATGCGTGATACAAAGTTCACATTCGCGGCTGGGAGGTCAACGACAAAAACCCACCAAGCTTACATAAGACCACTCACTGGCAGCAAAGGGGAAAGCACGCACCATAGAACCGTGAAAGGTTTTTAAATTTATGGGCGAGGTAGCAAATGCAATATCTGCAGCAAGCTCAATAACGACGACGTTTTTCCCGACAGGAAACTGTTGAGCACAGTTGATAAGGATAAGGATGGGTTCACACGTGCACAGTCTAGTCACGTGTGTCCAGAGCCACGCTAGCGATGCATACACTGTAGCCACGTCAGCGCCGACGCAAAAGCGGTGAGCCCACACAACGTGCCAGGGTCTTTTTTTTTTTTTCTTCTCTACGCCCTTCGTTCACTCTGCCTCCCCTGCGTAACAACCTCGTCGCTCGCTGTCCAGCTGCACACCCAGCGCACTTCCTTTCAGGCACGAATTCTCTACTGCGTTTGTCACAAATATTTTTTGGCAACCGTATTTTAACTGGTCTTTCATCTTGGGCGACTGCACAATAAGCGGTGTGCGAATACATGGGGTTCTATGGGACGGCAAATGGGAGTCGAAAAAGACTGCATAGTAACCAGTCCTGCACTATAAGCAGTTACGTTATAAGTGGTCTACACTGTATGCTATTCGATTTTGATTCAAAAATATTCTACCAAAATCACTATTTGCTTCGAATCTAAAATTCAGGTTTCACACAAGCGTATAAAACATATGCGGTTGTTCAATGTGTATGTGTGCATGTATTCGTATATATCTTTAGTACCACTTCATAAAGTTTCACACAATTAAAAAATTACAACACAGTTATCTTCCATACACGTGCTTCGCATAACATTGATTCCCAAGATAGGGGGGTATCTGCCGGATTTAATCCCAAGTTTTTGCGACTACCAAAGTTTGTTGTAATGAACTTGAATCGATATGTATTTGACTTCAGTCTGTTGAATTCTTTTTTATCTAATCCTTGGACATGTCAAATAATGCCAAAGGCAGTTCACTGTTTTTTTTTTTTTTCATTTGCGCCATATTGTATGCTCACGTCAGAACTTGGTGCATTCATGATGCCTCTTTTTGTATGAACCTTCTTGAAGCAAGAAGAGCAGAGTAGCGCCACTCTATGTTTGCTGTAGAGTGGCCACCCATCCTGCGACTCGTGGGACTGTCCCATGTTTAGGGCTCTTTTCCTGCATCCCTCAATAGATTCGAAAATCTTGAAAAACGTTCTGCATTTCACAGTTCATTGTTATTGTTGGGCATTGTCTTGAGTTGAGCTACATCTGGCCACTCTGTTTGAGAATGTGTTAGCCGGTAGCACTTCAAGCTTCCGAAAAGTGAGCTATCTGCATGGGTGACGGTGGTGACAAGTGCTCCTGGCACCAGCTGTTAAAATATGACTTATCACATAATTACTCATGTTTAAATATGACTTATATGAAGAAAGTAAAACATGTGGTGACACGTACCCCCCAGACTTGAGGGATGTGTGGAAACTGAGGCACAGCTCTTGTCTGCGTGACTATTTATTAAGTTGCTGAATATTTATGCAGATATTTATAATTTTGTTTTATGTTGAAGCACCTTACAGCAGTGTACAAAACAAAATGGTTTTGCTTACACAGATATGTATTAATTTCCCTATGTCAGAAATAACGTTACATTTCAAGAAAGAATTCCCATCAAAAGCTAAACGATAATTATTCTATTGCTAATTTCTCCTAACATGCCTCATCAATGCCACCCCTGCCACTGTTAGCGTGTCCCATGCTTAGCTTGTAAGTTGGAGGTCACCCTAATTTTGCTTTTATATATATATATATATATATATATATATATATATATATGAATAATGAGAATTGTGTTTATTGCAGATGTGCAGTTAGTTGGTGAGCAGCCAGCATCACTAGTGGGTGCCTCAGCAACCCTCCTCCAAGGGAAGCTGTACATACTGGGTGGTACATCTGTACGACTGCAGCGCGTGACCCTTCCCCAGGATTTGTGTGCCCTTTTCTCGCATAGCCGACTTGGGTGTCTGCGCTCTGTAGGCTGCTCGTACTGTGCTGTTCAAGATGCCCAGGGAGTCATCACACATTGCTACTCTAGTGCCAGGGCAGTTCCACCAAGGTTAGTTATGAGTTGCTTCTTGTTTACTATTACTTGAGTGTACTAGAATAGGGGAGTGGGTCACTATAGGGGACTGGGTAGACGGCTTCGTTGTCGCGAGCAGTCGCGCGCATCAGACGCGTCTCAAGCATATCTCACAGCGTTTGTGTAAAGCCGTGGATGGCGTCACGCCATGTGCCGCGAATAATTCAACAAGCGAGAGGCACTACGTTAGTTTTGCTAAGCAACCTGCTCGTGGCTAATCGCAGCAGGGCTTCACTGCATTGGATTCTTTTTTCGCACTACCGAGGTTGAAAGTACTTAGTGAACCAATAGTACGTCGCACAGACGATACTGCACCATGCTGATGACGGCTCGGCGCTCTCGAAGTCACCATGAGTGCTGCCGACCGTTGCTTCATCGGCCCAACAACTCGGATGAGCCGGAGCTTTTGGTGAAGGTGACTGCAACGCCACTGCAAATTTTAACAAATGTTTGTCAATTTGTTTTATATGTTTAACAACACACCCAAAACAAAGTTGGCAACGCTGTCTGTGCGCAACTATAAGCTGCAAAGAAAATGAAACACATTCTGCAACGAAGATGGACAATATATAGAGCCAGGAATAAATACAATGTGAAGTCAGCGATCCCACTCTTGCGCCAACTGCGCCAAAGTGTGCCAAATCAGATTTACAGCGCCATCCTGATAATATCAACGGAAATTGCGCCAAACTGTGCCAAAGTCAAATTTGGGAGCGTCAATCACCAGCAAAAGCCACGCCAGCACAATCAGAAACCTAGAATTATACCGCTAAATAAACAGCGGCCGTGCGTGCATCCTCAATTACGATGCTATGCTGGTGCCATCGCAACTTCTGTTGTGCAAGTCCACTTAACGGCGAAATGCCCTCTCCGCAGGAGCTCATGACGTCTATAGTACAATTAGTAGCGTGAAACTGTGGCAGCGATTTATCGGGGGACGTCGTCAGTTCCAGGAACGCTGCTGATAGGTCGTTTGAAGAGTTGTGCTGCACATGATTAAAGCAATTTTCACTAATAACTGCACGTGTGTCGCCAGAATATCTGTCACGTATACTTCTGGACATTGTGATCTAATTTTCCGTGCTTTGTGTCCACAAAAGAACACGTTAATGGTGGAAATGTGTTGACTCTTGCCCTCTAATATGCTTTATCCATAGATAATCATACGAAATAGCTTTTTCGTAATTTCTTCGACCAGCACATCCGCGTTTGTAATCACTGTTGTGGTAAAACGAAGACCCGTCCTTTAGAACTCAAGATTACAAGGGTGCAAAGTCAGTTTTCTTTTTGTTTAATTTCATCTCATTATTAAAAGCGTGCCTCCTGGTTGGAGCAGCCGTCATTCGATTTTAATACGCGCAGCTTTCAGTAGTGAGGCCATCGCTGGCGACTATATAGCCGGTATAGCACTGGTGTCGGAAGACCCACTGTGAAGCGGCTATGCCTTGTTGCACAACCTCCTCTCACTTTCCAGGGTTAATAGCTCACGGTTAAAAAAGAATTGAACATCACGGCATCGCATTTATTGCTTTACTTTAAAAGGAAAGGGGTAGGGGATGCCGTGTCACTTAAATGGCGCAGTCGCTGGTGCGCACTATCTCGAAGAATAATGAGACCACTCATCAATTTTCTGTCAGTAACCTCTGCTTTGTGTTCGGATAGCTCACAGCACGAAAACCGCTTTGGCAACTGGAGTGATCATTGTCCCTTTAGCCAGCTTTCTTCTGAGTTACGCGATGATGGGTCCAAAAGATACAATTTCTTATTTTTGCTTAAGCTCTTAGCAATGAATTCGATACCAAGCAATTTTGTTATAACAAATAATAAGGCTTGACTTCATCTGCGAGGAGCACTAGCATTGGGGTTGTCATTTCGAAGGTTCGCGCACTCGCCGCACTTGCAAAAACTAGCTGCACGCGCCACGTTTGATATCCGTACAGCGACTTGGATGACTATGGAGACCCACGGAACACCTCTTGCACGCTGATGCATGTAAAGATAGAATCAGACTTGTCTAGAGCGTCCAGCCAGCCACTCCAGCTGCCGTTTTTTTTTTTTTTTTTCAGAAATATGTAAAGAGAGACGCCGTAATAATACCAAACATGGTCACACTGCGTGTTAGGTTCTTGTGCTATAACGTAAGCATCAACGAACGCTTATAGCTAACATGGGATAGAAGCCGTGGCCAACTACAGTGTCTCAGGCACGCGCTTCACTAGATGAGTGTGATTCTATTTGTTCAGCAGGAAGGCGTGTACAAATGGACCTCCAAAATGGCGTGACGGTGGTGTGATCAAAGCATTGAGCCTTGATCGCAAGGCACTGAGCCTTTAAGCTAAAAGTGGTTCACTTTCTAGAACGGCTCTTATATGGCCACTCTAGAAAGCGAACCACTTTTGTACAGTTGGCTCGCAATGAGAGTATAAATTGGAAGGGTATACGAGCCGTCCTTAATGCCTGCCGATATAGTGCACATGCCAGCGATCACACCCTCAAAGTCAAAGTTTATAATTATAACAACGCCCTCTCCCCATTGTGTTCCTAGTTTGTTCCTGGTCCTTAAAGGCGAGCGGCACATTCCTGTTCGCTTGAGTAACAATCGATGGCAGGCCTGGCACATGGGTTGATGTTATCGCATGCGCCCTTAGTGGAAAGGAGATGGGTCGAGCAGCTCTTTTTATCTCTGCTTTAGCCACGTTCGTCGCGTTCGCTCGCGCGTTTTTACCTGCGTGTAAAACACATGATGCATGGGGGGAATGTTAGCGATTGGGACATTACACAAAGCATGACGGCCAGTGGTGTAGCCAGGAGGGGGGAGACAATGCTTTAGCCACATGACATTTTGCTACTAAAGAAAAATGAACATTGTTAAATGTTGTAATTTCAGCATAGAGAGATGAGTATGAGTGCCCAAGGAGGTTGGCTTTATGAGACTAGCTATATGACGTCATGTCACACCCAGCAGTCTTATCAGTTGTGAGAAAAAAAGAACATTTCTTTATCCTTGAAGTCATCTTAGGGAAATGCAGTAAGGGGTGTTGTACGTCGCGGCGTTTGTTTACCATATCTGCTGATACACATAGGTGTATTTAAAATGTTATTTCCTGAAGTACAATTTTATTCAACCATTATTCTGTTTATTTGCTACGAAAATAATCACTGAACAAGTTTTTCCCAAATGGTCAACAGCATGATGACATCATTCTTGCATCACATCAATTGAAATAGGGATGCTCCTAAGATGATTGGCTCTATGAGATTTGCAAGGAATCGAAATATTTCTAGCTCTTCACAAGAGACCCAGAATAATTATTCATGTCCTCGAAAGGATATGTAACTTGCTTCTCCTCCAGGATTTGATTTTAGCTGCTCCAGATTGCTCCACAATAGAAAACCTTTCTGCTCCAAAGTGCTCCAAAATAAGAAATTTTGCTGCTCCAAAGTGCTCCAAATGGAAAATTTTGCTGCTCCAAAAATTGCTCCAAATTAGAAGACCTCGGTGGCATCACTATGAAGTTAGCTTTGGGTTGATAATAAGGGTGATCGTTCTCCTTAGCCTAGCATCTATATTTAACATTTTTGCATTTGTATATTTCTATCTAGCACTTTTTTTATTTAACTGATTAAATCAGTCACTTTTGCATATATTAATGTTCGCTGCAGCACAATTCTGAAAATGGAGTGCATGTCTCAGATCCATAAATACAAATGGCTTACTCGCAAATACTTGTAGTAGTGTCAATTGCCGGTATAAAATGAATGTTTTTTGAAGCTTAACTAAAAATGGCATTGTCAGGTAAAATGTTTACTGAAAAGTGTTGACTTTGTAAGGGCAGAATTCGATAAGTTATATCTGCATGTTGCACCAACTCTGATAATTCATAGTGTTGGTTAATTCAAGCAAAATTCAATCTTTTGCCTGACCCTCTATTCTTTCAATGTGTTTAAAAGCCTTTTAATTCAAACTCCATCATTCGGTTAATTCATACTTTTTACGGTTTCATATCACAAAAAAACAGCTGCTTTCCCACTACTATTTAAAAATTAATGTGCTTATATAATCCTAACAGTTTAAAAATGAAAAATAAGCACCTCAGGCCTTAAAAAAAGGCTGTGCTCATAAATAGATGTTTCGAACAAAGGAAATGCTTGGTAAACTGTGATACTTCCCAACTGGTGTAGTGAGCTTTGTGCTGAAGGCACATATAGCAAAGAAGCAGTAGGAAAATAGCGATTCCTTTAAAAGGTCTGATCAGCAGTAAATGGCCAATAAACTTGTACACCTTACACTTTTGCTTTCTGTTTATTGCGTGCAGTTAGCTTTTCAAAACACTTAAAAATTTTTTAAATGTGATAAAATCAATGCGTAATCATTATGTGTGGTGTCACTTCACCCAGAGTCGTATATCTGAAAACTTCTGATCATTCAAACTTCTTGATAATATAAACAAAATTGAGAGGACCCTTCGAGTTTGAATGAACAAGAGTCGACTGTATATATATTTGTCAGATTAGCTTTAATTTTTTTTATACATTACCTGTGGTGATTATCTACGGCAGTCGCATTTCAATAGAGGCGGAATGGTAGAGACCTTTGTACTGTGCAGTGTCAGTGCATGTTAAAGAACACCAGATGGTCAAAATTTCTGGATCCCTTCACTGCGGCGTCTCTTATAATCATATTGTGGTTTTGAAATGTTGAACCTCAAGTATTGATATTATTCTTTATCTATGACATTACTTGTTAGTTGTTAAATTAGTGTTGACATACATTGCACCAGCACTGCCAGGCAAGCAGCATGAAGTGAGGAGGAAGATTGCTGCCTCATAAAAACACTACCTATACCAAGCAAAGGTGTTCATTACACCAAACTTATACTTAACAAAAGCATTAGTCTGAAGTAATTCGACACAAAATTTCTGTTGTTGTTTTTTCGCAACAGGCTTGTGCTATTAAGGTAGGAAAACTAGCCATGGAACATGACAGCAGTGTTCTCAACTGACCGCATTGAACATTTATCCAAGCAGCTGTATCCATCATCGAGGAGGGACATTGGAGGTGGCTCAAGGCAAAGTCTGTGATGCAGATTGGCTTGGGAACCGTACCTGTTACCAGTACAACAACTGTGAGGATTGCTTGGCCGCATGGCCAGCACATCCCAGCGTACAGCATGTGAGTGCAACCTGTAATTCTTTGACAGTCACTGACAAAATCTTTATGGTGCTATGAACAAGTTCTAAATGGTAGTTGCTGTACATTTGTGGTACCATCTGTATGTGAGAAGAATATGCCAATTTTTCCACTTTTTTTGTCCAGCAAGTGCTGTCATTCTGTGGGGATAGAAGTATTTTTTTTTTTCCTCTGTTTACTATCGATTCCCATTCTGAGGTTTGGTTAGGCCAGGCAATGCACAATATTTTTTTTTTCAATATAAACTAGGCATGTATAGTTTAAAGGAAGTGCAAGTAACTTTGTATAGTATAACAGGATTTGACTTTCAATATAATGCAGGTGATGACCTGTAAAATGCATTACGTTTTAAAAATGTATAATACTTAGAGCACATAAGAAGGTAGTATACATAAGCTGTTAAACATAAAAAATAGTGAATCGATGAGGAGGGTATGATCATTTAATTACGTTGGGAGTGGGGCCTCAAGGCAGTGCAGATATCTTATGGATAAGTGTACTCAAGGCAAAGCACTTCTGCATTACAGAGTAACCATCTTTACAGGAGTTACATGCGGACTAATATGCACATAACTGTTGGTTTCGAATACTTCAACATTTTCAGTAATTTAAATTCAAATTCGTTTGAATATTCTAAATCCTCGAATATTCGCACAAAACAAACCTATACCTATAAATATTTTTTTCTCATTTTATGGTCATTTTAAAAAATGAACAAATCTGAGTTTTTTTTCCAAAACACATCACTTAGAACTTATAAATGTGATGTAAAAAAAAAGAAATAGATCTCATGAGGTTGCATTTGGTGAAAAAAGTTTTGACCCTCAGAGGGTTATTGTAGCAACTAGTTTTTCTTGGCTGTTGGAGCTTATTCAGGGCAACAGCAGATCAAGCCGTTGAAACTTGGGCCATATGACTATGCTTTGGTTGCTTGCCCCAGCAAATGCACCTGTTCTGTAAGATTGCATCTCTATGCAACCTTGTTGAATTTGTGGTGCATGCTTTCGTTTCTCTTATGCTCTGTTGTGTTTTAAGTTATGGCTACAATATATTTACACTGACTAATGGGATATTTATGGTTGCTGTCTCTTTCTTTCCTTTCCCTGTTTCTCTAATCTGTCTAATAAAATAACTACTAATCTGACACAGTGGCAAATAACTACTAATGACACAGTGGCAATTAAACTGCATGGAGTAATAAACTGCATGGAGACTTTGGTTAGGGAAAATTAGTTCGTAGTTTTTCAAAAGAGTGGCATAGATAAAGTAGAGCAAAGAGAAGAAACACACATTGTCATCACAGTGACTTCATGCTCTTATGGCAAAGATCCACTTTCGGCTCATAATAGCTGCAAAACGAATAAAGCCATGAAAGCTGGCATTCGTGGCAGAATGGAAGAACTAAGGTCGTTTCTGAGTAATGTGATGCACTGTCTTTTCTGTTCGAAATCATGGGTGCAAGTCGTTTGCACCTTCCGCACTAGGTGGTGCTGAGTGCAGTACTAGTATTATGTGGCAGGTACAGCTTGGCAGGTACAGCTTGGCCGGCATAAAGGCAAACCTCTTTGATCCTTGATCCTCATTACAGTACGTACTGGCAAGTTGACCTAAGGGGAAAATTTCATCTTCTTGTGTCCATTCTCTGTTTGTCTTTCAGACGTGCCACTGGTGCCTAGGTTGCCGTAAGGGACGCTGCTTCAGGGCAGGGGAGTCGTCATGCGAGAAGCCCATTGGCTGTGATGGGCCCAGACATCCACTTGTTTCAGACCCTGCTCAGTGTCCACTTCGTTCTTGCCTTGCCTCAGAGTGTGAAAAATGCCGTGACCTTGGGTCTTGTATGTGGACGAGACAAGTGGTCCGTTCAAGTGAGTACACCTCTTAAGATTTTTTCGCGTCCCTTTGCTTGTGGTCAGATGTAGGCTTTGACATCATTGATTGATGATTGATTGATATGTAGGGTTTAACGTCTCAAAACCACCGTATGATTATGAGAGATGCCGTAGTGGAGGGCTCCAGAAATTTCGACCACCTGGGTTGGCTTTGACATCATTTATATTTCAAGTTAAAGTGTAACCCACTTATAACAGTACAATTTTTTAACGATATACTGGATACAAAAGAGTGTAAATTTTTGCATGTCTTCTCTAATGAAATGAATCACTTATTAACAATGTTCTCATTCCACATTATTGGTTATAACAATTAAGTGTGGCTCTTTGGTGTTTGCATGAAAAAAGAAAACAATCTCGTGCAATGTCAAAAAATAGAAATAAATAAGGTTTTCGGTGAAGTTAATTGGAATGCCTAAGCATAATGCATAATACATAATCATTTTTCATCTTTATTGTTGTCCTTCTTTTCCGTATTTTCTTTTTTTTTCTTCCATTAAAAGGTGCAGCTATTTTCTTTTTCCTATCTTTCTTTTTTTTTTTCGTACATTAAAAGGTGCAGCTTCTTTCCAGTTAATCCCTTTTTCAACCTTCTCCCTGTCGCATTAGTACACTCAAACCTTGTTATAACATAACGGAATATAACAAAATAATGAATATAACAAAGTAAATGAAGTTCTTCTTGAAAGCTCGATTGAGAACCATGCATTTTAAACCTCGTTGCAATGAAGTAAAATTGACTGGTAAATAGATATAACAAACTAAATTAGTCTATCAAATCGTCTATAAAAAAAACCGACCGTAGTGTGTAAGTATATCGTTTTCTGCAGAGTTTGATGCTCGTTCGGCGTGGCTCTTCAAAACTATCATGCCGACCTTACAGCCACGCTGCGCGTGGCAGAGAGAGCCGTTTTCACACAGCTAGCGGAGAGGATTGAGGAAGCGCTCAGCGGGTCACATGACCGAGAAGCGGCGCCGCGGTGCAAACAATTTTCCTCTCCGTGCCTTAAAGACGACGGCTACGACTGCGTCTCTGCTGCTACTCTCTGCACCGACAAAAAAGGACAGCTTTCTATTTTCTTCCTCTCACTTCATGAGCGGCCTTGAAAAAAGAAGGGTCTCTACGTGCAGAGACGCAAAAGGGAGAAGTGTGGCATAGGCGCGTCGCAGATCGGCATTTGAGAGAGAGCAAACAGTCTGCCACAGTCTTTTCTTTCCTTTTCTTCTTTTTCTTCTTCGCGCGCAGCATTGAGAGCTGCCGCCGCGGGATTAAGCATGGTGCTGAGAGCATTTTCGGAGCGCGGTATGTTCGAATTAACCTTCGCAAGTGCTTGCGCATTCGAATTACAGGGTGTTTTCACCCATTGGAATACACATAGCTTTGACGGGACCTCAGCGTGAGTTCGAATTAACCGGAAGTTCGAATTAAGCGAGTTCGAATTAATGAGGTTCGACTGTATTTGTTTTCCGTCGCACGCGTAGTCGCATAGCGGTACAACGGTCCGCGAGACAGTTTTTTTCTTTGCATGCTTATAGGTGTGCCCCCATCTGAGCATACATTGCCACAAACTGTTATAATCGATATAACGAAACAATGGATATAACTAAATAATTGTGGCTCCCCTTCAACTTCGTTATAACGAGGTTTAAGTGTATTACATTTTTCGATCATGTTTATGGATCAATGAAAACGAGATAGCCGCACTTGTGCAGATGTCTGGGCCTTTGAATAAGTGAAAAAGAAAAGAAAAAAACGCAACTTGGTGGTGTGCATCCCCAGCTTTAGAAATGCACAAAGCATGCACCACAACAGAAGGAAAAGTTCTTATGTGGTTTTATTTCTTCATGACAGTCACGTTGTAGACATGTTCATGTGCAAAAGCCAACTTCTGAAGCCTGCATTTCTACGTTGAGTTCAAGCAGTTCAAGTTGGGTGTGGAGAAATCTTCATTCATTGTTACGTGCACATTTTTTTATGGATTCATACCATGGATTGTGAGTAGGCTTGTGCGAATAGTGAATTTTAGGTCTGAAGTGAATTTGAAGCAACTAGTATTTTTGGTTGAATAATTTTGATAAATATAACATATATTATAAAAAACACCAGTTCTGTGCAGTAGGCGCAGCACTGTCGTTGCGAAAGCTAGAAGAGCGGCCTTTCAGAGCCTTTTCAAAACACTCATTGGGTAACTACTGCAAGCACACTTGCTTGATACCCACTAGGGCATTAATAATACATTTTTTGTGTTAGTAAGCCGGCATGTGCTCTGCTAGTTTTGGTCATTCTTCTGAGAAGCGTGGTACTATTCGCTAAACACTTGCAAGAAATTTCGTGCCAATTGTTCATGCAGTGCCTGACGACGATGAGGAATTATGACTGAAGTGGATATGGGCCACAGTTAATAGGGGAACAAAAACAAGCTTTTGTAATGAGTTAGAGCATTGGACAGCCCACACATTACTCTATTCGCATTGTGCAACGACTGGTTGTTCTTTGGCTGTTTTAAAATGCTTTATAAGTCGTATTAACGCGATTGCTTTCCTGACATCAAGCCGGTCTAAGGCAAGTTTGCCAACAAGTCACGAGCACCAGCGTAGCTCAGTGAAAGAATACTGGGCTGGCACCCAGCAGACCCGGGTTTCAAGTCCCACTGTGTCTTTGGTGCTGGGTATATTTTTCTAATTTTGCACGATGTGGTTACACATACCGGTGGTGGCGGCGGCGGACAACTGCGCGTGACCCGAGTTGTGATCTCATAACAGCTTTCGCTGTAAAAGATGACAGCTGATCAACAAGCGAAGTCAGAAGAGTGTCACGCTCTAAGCTCACGGTTTACACTCAATGTGTTGCGTTTTCTTTTCTTACATGGAACTAGCACTTCTCTTCATTACTTCTCTTCATTGTAATGCCATTTCGAGAATCCTCTCAACGAGCAGCGAAAGCAGGATACAGAGAGGAGGGTGCAGGCAGTGGCCACACGTCTAGAGTATGTCTAGACTGAACAGTGGTTCTGCGACGACCACGGGCTGGTTACAGGCACCCTGGTCACCCATTCACACTGTGAATTTTACAATGTTTAGTGAATATGTTGGGCAATTTAAGAACGAACATGGAGATGTCTTGCTTGTTCAACAAGTACGCAACACGCGTTCAGAGATTAATGTACCTGGTATGAAATACTGCGGCATTACATAGCGGTGACTATTTTTTCTTTTTTTTAACTGTGCTTCAATAGACCACTTCATAAACATCCGTACACAATAATATAGTAAAATTATGAGTGAGGATAGAAGAGCAATACAATCCAACGACGATAATTAGTCTAGTTTTTTCCCATGCAATTCTCCAGAGGAAAGGAGGAATACTAGAATGCCTCTATATTTCTCAAATCGAGGTATTTAGCACAGAGACAGAATGGACTGTTACGAAAAAAACATAATGCTGCCACAAATTGATACCTCTCTGCAATCACCTGTCAGGAAAATGCAGCAGTTGCCATAGTTTTCTTCACAAATTGGATCAAAATAAATTCTGTAACAAAAAAAAAAGACGTTCCTTCTGTTCATCGAGAAGACCCTAGCATTTATTCTTTCTCGTATGAAAAAAAAAAAAAAACGTGTACACACTGGAATCACGTGCACTCTGCTGTATGCCATGGTCTCAGCTGCCACCGGGACCCTCACTCAGTGCACCCTCTCGTGCTAACCGGGTGCGCGACGCGATACTCGTTGGTTTTGCTGGGCAGCACGGCAATCGGGATGGCCGCAGAGAAACACACCGCGTGCCCGCCATATCTGAGGCCGTCCAGAAACTCTCTGGACGATGAAGGGTGAGTGCGCATTTCTTGCCCATCGATTGGCTCCCTTTGTTTGGAGCTCATTCGCACTTCACCAACAGCGCTTTGTGCCCACTGCGAATGCTTTCCATTCGTTGCCCCTTCTATACGCTAGGCCAAAGAGCAGTGCGATGTCCTCGCGTGTGCTCCTACTCCGCCGACCCATACCTCATGAAGCCAACGTGAGTAGAGTTTGCCTTCGCTCGAGCGATCAGGCCCTGTCACAGATCGCGAGAGCAATGCAGCCTAGTCACGAGAGCCCATTCAGCGGCATGTCACCGTGAATACCTTTTGCCTGTGGAAACGTGTTCGCGGCACCCTTTGTGTTGTATTTTTCACCCGTGGCATCGATAAACCTCATTTGCTTTCCCGCCACCATTTGCAACGGGCACAGTACTGTGTTTTTGGTGTTGCCGCAGCCAGGCAATAAGCACTGTGCAGTCGAGTTTTCCAATCTGACTGCAGTGCCAGAACACATATCAATCTAAACAAAAGATGGACTAAAAAGGATGTATTTTTTGACCCACAACAATAATCGTCATCAGGCTTATGTGTGCTTCCTTTTTTGAAAATTCGGCGCTGGCCACTTTTCTATAGCGAATGCTATGTGACGCTGATAACGCACATGTCGATCGTGACAGGAGTGTTCCCGGCACGAGGTGATAGAGCAAGAAAGGAACGCAAGATAGATGACGAATATTGTTGTGGAACAAAAAGATGCCCTTTTTACTCGATATTTGCCTAGCTATTGAAAAAAGCAACATTGAGACGAGGTCTATCAAAATAAAATGCAATGCACGCGTCTTGCACCCTAAATCAGTGGGTGGTTTGTGACCAGGATGCACAGGGGACGCGTGTACGCTTATATTTTTCACGCACCCCTAACGACAAATGTCAGTGAGTTTGAGACGGGGCATTGTGAGCCATGTAGCACCTTCTAGTGAATGAACGGTGCCTATAAAGTATGGTGACTTGAGAGCAGCAGCATATTCAAATTCTATTGGTCACGAAACTTGGAACGAAAAATGTTGGATTTCTAATGCCACAACCATTAACGCCCACCAATGATTGATGCGTGACTAGGTGAAGAGGGGACAAACAACCAAAACTAAAACCTCAATATGATTTCTTTCTTCAAATATTCATAATTTTATATATGTCAAAGTTAAGTGTAAACTTCTTTTACAGTGTATCTCACACCTGCCAAAAGAGTTGATTGCCTCCATTTTTCGTCGAGTTCCATAAGTGGGGCAGGGGCGTATCTAGGTAATCTGCCATCAGAGATTGTGTATAGTTCGGCATGTTCTTTGGTTCGGCGCATTGCCATGTAAAGGAAGCATCGCTGGCTTTTTCGTGGTGTTTTTTTGCATACCTTCAGTAGTTTACTTATTTCTTTATGTGCTGTTTACTAGTGTGACATTTCAGAGCTCAACTAGCTCACACAATGTGTAGATAGTCGCTCCTGTGACTGCCGACTGCTTTCACTAGCGCACGGCCGGCGTGCCCTCGCCTTTGGTGACGGTGAATGTGACACGTTAAGCAGTGAGATGCTGTACTCTACTGTTGCCAAAGTGATGTTCTCAAGGCTGCTATCGCGCTGCAGTGGCTTTCCACGATTGGCCAACGTGAAACTTATAACCATTATGCTATTGCGCTCAAGAAGTGTTGTGTCGCAGTTACATCTGCAAAGTTTTCAGTGTATATTGCAAGTACACTATTTGGCTAATAAAACAATCTTGCTTCCTCAATCTTTTTTGTTGGTCTTCCTTTTCTCTCGTGCATGCTATTACAAGCCATTAGGTGCAATATAATCACGTATTTATAACGCCATGTAAAAGGTCAGCGATTAAGAGCGATTTCAATTTCATGCCATGTAGGGCAAATACGTGACGTTGCTACCGCTTCCAGTTGTCACGTCATATTTTATTTTTTGTTTGCTGTTTCTTATCCCCTTCTCACGTTTATGGCGACGGTGGCAAAGAGCCACTGACTACTGGATCCATGGGTTTTTATGGGAATTATGCTACCAGTTTACGTATTATACCTTGGCAGCACTGTGTACTTTCCAGGCTGCGCTCGGCGTCTTGGCTGTTCAAACGCACGTGTGCAGTGGCGTTAGTCACGCAAGGCGACGGTGAACTCTGCAGCTAGCGGAGACTGAATCTATGCTAGTGGCCGTACTACTTAGCTGTACACTACAACTCTGTGCAGGTGAACTTGGCCACACTGTGAACGTTCGTCCAATCTTTGACTGGACCTGTGTGGGGAAAACATTGAAAGATGCGTCGAGTTTCCCCGTGGAGTCGAACCCTCCTCGGCCCTGCCCAAAGCGCTGCAGCCAGCACACTTCTTGTGGTGATTGCCTTGCTAGTGCAGGAGGTGAAGGTGGTTGGCACGAGTGCCGCTGGAGCTCGGCCTTGTCTGAAGTAAGTTTTTAGTTTTAGTAAGCAGAATGTTTGAACTAGTGTTGGCCAAACCCACATAAAAGATCACAATGCAGACCAAAAATCAGGTTTACTGTTCTCTTCTTAGTTGTTTTCTCTTCCTTAATGCACTAAAATGTCTTACGTTGACTACAGCATTTTAATTCAACAAAACAAATTCTGCATTAGTTGTGGACATTGCATGAGTGACAATATCATGACAATAATGTAGTGTGTGATTGAAAGGTTTGCACCAATACACTGTAGAAAGGGATGTAGCAAATTGAATATTGTAGAGTGCATAGTGGCAGACTAGAAGAAAGGAAGAGCCAACTAGGCAAATAATGGAGTAGTCGAGGGGGTGCAATATGACAATACATGTGTAAATGTACCCTTGGTTGCACACGTCGTGAAAAAGCGCGATTGTTTGAACATCACATGGACAAGGTTTCCCACATTTAGGAGAAGTGCCTCATTCGTATATGAGCTATGCAGTGAAAAATGTGTATTTATATGGTGCATAACAATGATTTCTGCAAATGAAATAATATTCTTCCAGTTTGATCTCAATTGTCAGCAGTTATGAGTTTTTGGATACCAGTGAGGGGTTTCCGCTACCTGTGGCTGTCTTTATACAAATGATGGGGCTTAGAGTATTCAGTGGCTTCCTGTAGTATGATTTTGTGACAGCTTTCTGTTTTATTTTTTATTTCACCTTGGCACAGTTCATATATATAGTCAACGATCAATTTTTCTTGCATGAAATAGACACCTTTACAGCACTGCCACATACCCCATAGAAGTAATACAAGGGTATCTAAAAATTCAGGACTCTCAGGGGTGCAAAAGCTGCGCCAATTTGATACGATTTCTCATTCGTGCGCCAAGCTGTGTCAAAACCATGAAATTTGCTGAAATTGTGTCATGTTGCACTAAAATGCCCGACCAGCCTCAAAATTTTCTCAGTTGCGCTGATTTCAGCAAAAAATGGAGGTCACCTTTGCCACTTGTAGTTTGTGTCATCAATCAATCGAGGGATCTAGGCACGCAGACCCTAAACCGCGGTGTAAGATGTAAGCTCATTAGGCGAAGACTCAGAAAGCGTGATCCATCAATTGAAGTAGCAACGCCGCGCGCCCATAGATAGATATCCGCTGCTCACCGCAGCGGATATCTATCGGCAGTACGATGCAACTTCAAGACAATAATGCATTGCCGCAGCCAGCAACACTTCATGAGAACTACGAATATTTTAGTCAGCAAACGTGGCTATGGCTTGTTTGACGCTAAAGGTGGAAGCATACAAACTTAAAACACTGCGAATGCCGTCGTTGCCGGTGACCACATTCGTTGCCATAGCAATGGCACAAGCAAGATATCCAGTGCTGCCGCCGAGCCAACGGGCACATGCTGTTGTTACTTCATCTGGTCAAATGCGCCTTGCAAGTGAGCCGAGAAGTTGTGCGCTAAACCTAACCTCTTTGTGAAAAAAAAGAGGGTTTAGATACAAGAACTATGCTATTATGAACCCTGTAAGATCCACAAACCTCTATTACAGAACCATTTCTCTAGAATTAACTTATGTTTTTTTTTTTTCATGAGTCGGCTGGATACCTTTTACAAAGTGCCTTGATCTTTGTCTCATCGATGTTCCTCTTAACATTCTTCTATCTCCTTAGTCAAAAATGCCACTAAAGGTAATTCGATATAATAAAGGGGCCCTGCAACACTTTTTGAGCATGGTTAGAAAATGCTGCCGATCGGTAGTAGAGGCACGCACCCGAGAACATGCGAGCCAAATGTTATAGCACAGCACGTGGTCTGGAATTCACAAGAAATTTTGAAAGTCCGCTAAAAATTGCTTTCTCTTCCCTCGACAAAGGACGAAAGACGCTCAAAAAGCACTCGTAGAAGGCCATTTATCAGTCATTGGCTGATTTGAACATGGTGCACTCTGTCGTTATAGAGATTGCCGCGAGAGGTCACAACTTGTCTACTTATGCGCACATGATCATCACACTGAAAAAGCCGCGTATTTGAAGAAAAAAAATGCTCAAGGTTACGAGGCACATGTGTTGTATTGTCTTTGCCCATGCCATCCCTCCCTGCTTAACTTCCAGCGCTTTCGTCAGGACGAGAGAAGAGAGAATGCGATTGCAGCGTGTTAAAAATCTTTGTAACTCTGCTCGTACTGGAGGGATTCTTTAAATTTTTGCAGTAATGAATTTGTGGGGCAAAAAGCTCTTCCAGTGAATTAATTCCATGATTACTCAAAAAAGTGTTTCAAGGCCCCTTCATCATCCACAGTATTTGCTGTATGTATTCTGTCATTCAGCAGTGTGATATTCCTTCTGCATTTTGAATGTTGATTTATGTTTTCGTTGCATGCAGTGCATGACCCCCAGCTATGTGGGCCTGCGATGTGAAGGAGGACCTTGTGGACAGGTTCTCAGTGGATCTGTGGAAGCATGTGGAGTGCCCTGCCACGTTCATAGCCAAGCAGCCCATTGTTTGCGTGACCCACGATGTGGCTGGTGTGGTCTGCATGCCCCAGGTGCCAATGGAAGGGGCCTCTGTATGCGTGGAGGGCACAGGGGCCCCACAGGTGGATCTTGTGGGCCAGCTTCCGTCTTCTTGCATGGTCATCCTTTGCCTGGTGAGTCACAAAAATAGTGCTCATGGGCTCAATTTTTTTTTGCCTGATGTGCCACCAACCCATAAAAAACCCTAAATGTGTCTTTATTACCGCATGGTTGCGGCTCGAATGCTGTTGGCAGTTTCTTGAGTACTTGAGAAACATGAAATTGCCAGACAATTTAAATGTACCTGTTTAGCCGAAATTACAGTTTTATGCCAGAATCTTCCATTTTCACACCTGCCAGGTCTCCCGATTTGCCCAGGAGACTCTTGAATTTCGACCGCTTTGTACGATTGTACGACTGAAAAAGAAATCTCCCGAAAATGCCCGCGTGTTTGTCCCAAAGCGGGCTCCAGTTTGACAACCTAGCACCAATGCAACCGCGCGGAGTGCTGATTGTCATCGTCATCGTTGAAGAGCTCGAATGTGTCTAGTCGACCAAGCGAAGCAGTCGCAAAAACAAGCGACCCTGTCAGTACTTCTTCGAGTATGTGAATGCAGCGCCGCCGCTCTATGAGCTGGGAGGTGTAAGGCAGGTGTGGCGGCGCCAGCGACAGATTCTACTGTATTTTCAACGCTTATATCGCTGAGTGATAGCACTGGCACCGCTGACGCACCGACTTGCCGTTCTTTCTCTGAGCATGTGCTTGTGCTCTTGTGTCGTGAGCGCTATTAGCGTGGCTAGCGCTATGTCGCGTTGCTGTCAGGCATGGCACTTAGCAAAGAGTGAAAAAAATATCTTTAGGTGTTCTTGAAGCAGTCTACGACAGAGTTCGCTTGTGTTATCGCCTCGCAGAAAGATGAGCACCATGCGTTCTGCACCATTTGTAAGTGCGACATCAGTATACCCCACGACGGCAGGACTGACGTGGTTGTGCACGTTTCGTTGAAGAAACACACCAACAACGTTCAGTGCCAGGAGAAACAGCATCGAATGCAACAATTTTGGACGAAGTTGGACGAAGTCCTCGTGGACATTTTTTATTATTTAAAAAGAGGTGCTAAAAGAAAAAGTTCGCTTAAAGAGTTTCTCAAACTGCACAATAAGGAGTTTCACAAGATTCTAAAGCATGTTCTAACCAGATATCTTTCGCTGGTAAAATGCCGAAAGGCTCCTTTATCAGTGGGCAACGCTTTTGAGTTTTTTCCTTCAAGAAGTGAAAGGAGATGCCAGTACAGGTCCCCAATTTCTCACCTACTACGACATTTCCAAAGTGCCAGCAGAAACTGAAGACACTGAGCAGCACCAGTTTAGACAGAAGAGAAAGAAGTCTGTTGAATCAACACCTGTGCCTGTGAAAAAAGTTAAGGCTACTGGTATGTGCAACACTAGATCAACTTGCATAACACGTGAGGAACGACTGTTTGTGTTCGTAAGCTCGGAGCATAGCAAAGCTTGCTGTCTGTTTTTAAATAACATTATTCCTGCTTTTGAGACAGTCAACTGCTGCCTGCAAGCACAGGCACCCCTAATACACAAGCTACAGCCTATACTTTTAAACCTTCTTGAGGACATTCTTTCAAAGTTTGTGAGGCCAGCACTGCTAAAGCAGCACAAGGATATCTGATAGACTACCGCAGCAGAAATGTGCAAAAGGACGACCAAGACTTGGTAATTGGACACCAAGCTAAGTGTGTTGTTGAAAAGCTCAAGCCAAGTGACAAAAAAGAATATTTTTGAGGCTGTTAGAAAGTACATTGTTGCTGTATGCGACTACATGCGCCTCAAATTTCCTTTTGGAAATGAGGCTTTGATCAATGCACGTGTTGTGGACATTGAAGCTATTGATAAGATGTCATTTAAAAATGTCCTTTTATTTGTTGAGCATTTTTCTAGCATTATTGCCACGGAAGGAGCAAGAGACCATAGATCAAGCTAATAATGCACTGAAAATGGAATTTGTGAAGATGCAGTCTTTCGAAATTCCTACAAACATACTGGAAGAGGAATGGGCCGATGTGCAGTGGAGAACAATCTCGCTGCTGAAAGGCGAAGATGGACTTCTGAAATTCAGTCGCATTGCTCAAGTGATGCTGGGAATCCTTTCAGTACAGCACAGCGATGCTGAATGCGAGCGGCATTTCAACATTGTGAGGAAGACTCGAACAGAGTTTCGTGCTTTCATGTCAGACGAGACACTTGGGCAACTATTTCAGGCCAAATGTCATAGCCGCGAACCGTGTTATGCACAGGTACATTTCGAGAAGTTCTTGAAGAGGGTCAAATCTGCCACAACATAAATTGGGCAGTAATGTAACTGTGAGTGACACAGCTTGGACTGTTCTTCGAGTGACAGCTTGGACTAGCATGGTGTAAGGTCGGACTCCACGTGCAGTTTCTCTGTGCAAAAAACATTCTTTTGGCAAAGTGTCGGAGTGGCAGCGATGAGCATTGTTTTGCCGGACAGTGCTCGACATTCTCGAAAAAGGTGGCTTCAGCCACGTCGAAGATCTGGTGGTAGTAACCACAGCAAAATAGCCCCTCTCCCACCCCACCCCCGGTTGCGTTTCTCTAATGCCTGCGCTGCAAACCTGGCAGGTATGCATTGGGTCTTGTGCCTTGATAAATTAGACACCCTGCCTGGTATGAAGGCATCCTGTCTGATGGTGGTTGGAGAATTGCAAGAGCATGCACAAAATTACCATTTACAATGCTTTTTTTTTTTTCTCTAGTAATAGCATGGTGTGTGGAGCTTGTTTTGTGTGTGTAGTATTGCATCTGCACTAACTGATTTTATTTCCCTCTAGCCAATGTGTCCTACTGGCTTCAAACACTTGGGAGTGAAGTGTACTGGTACTACTTTGTGCGGCCCCCTGAAAATGAGTGCACCAACGGACACCACACCTGCGATGCTGAGAGGGAGGAGTGCGTCGACACACCCGATGGCTTTGAGTGCGTCTGTAAGCAAGGCTATGCCATCAGCAGGTGCGATTCTGACAGAGAACTGTTTTGCTTAGAATGCGTGTATGGACAGGTGGCTCTAGTGACTGTTCTCGTATCCAGGAGGTAAACCTACTGTTCTTAAAACAGCTGCTACAATGTATTTTAGTCTGAGTTTCTATGAAGGCAAAACTTGTCAGACGTCATACGATGATTTCACTATAGTAATTGTGTGTGATAGTCTTAGCTTGTTAAAAGCTGGCCATTTAACCCCTTGATGGTTCTTGTAATATTTCAAAAATAAATTCAAAGTCGTTTCAGCCATACTCATGTGAATGTTCAAGCACTTTGAATATTCAAATGAATATTGCTATATTTGAATCTGCTTTGATTCGAATGTAAATTATAGGAAATTAACTTCTGAAATTATGGGAATCATTGCAAATTATTGGAATTTAAATGATTGGAAATATTCAACATGAATGAATGATGCATACAGGGCTGGGCAGTATTGAAAGTACGTGTATGTGACATACTATCTTAGATACTCGTTGGGTATCTGCATCGCGATAAGTCTCGCGAGCTTTGTATCTGTATTTCCGTTACATTCATTAATGTATCATGTATCTTAAGATTCAAGATGCTGCGGTCGTAATGCTATACTGTATGAAGCGTTAATCACTATTTGAACTCCGCTGCTCAGGCTGCTACTGGGGCCACAAAGTCACCGGAATAAAACTAATTTCTGTGGCATTATTTTATCTTTTCATATGACTCCACTAGTCAGGACAGGCCATAACGTGTGCGCGTCACTTTCGGTGAAGCAGAGCAACACGACAGAGCTCGTGCAGTCTCGACAGAAACAATAGTAACGTGCTTGGCCACATGCCTTTTATTTCTGAAATTTCTTCCCTTTTTAGTTGTGTCAGAGTATGACACTTACCCTTAGCCACTTGCAAACGCCACGTACCAAAATGCATATGGCAATGACCGTACACATTCTGATGCAACTTTCCTGTGTGTAACTGTAATACTGCCGGTACTGATGCTGTATCTTATAGAACAAGCCCTTACTTGTCAGGTGTTATCTTGGCGTACCATGTCGCTTTCTTTCAGCTGTCCTTTTCAAAGAGCTTTTGAAATTATATTGTATGCTTTCTCAGTTGCCCTTCTATTGCATCCTATACATCACCTAAAGCTCTGAACTGTTTTTTTACGGTCTCGTGAATGCAATATGTCTTTTCAAAAGTGAAGTCAAAACAACCTCTCTGTTTCATCCTTACCTTTAATTGTCTCTTTTATTTTTGCCACTACTTACACATTTATATTCACTTGATTCTCATCTTCTGCCAAGGTGATTTGGGAAACAAATGTGTCATTATATTGGCGTGCATTGAGTACACAGCACCAAACATTCTGCTTACTGCTTGGTAAAATGACTAAATTAAGTTTGCATCATAATAATGGGAATAATTAAGAGCCATTTTAAAGATCTTAGAAGAGGATTGATTAAACATTGTTTAACTAAATGGTTTGTTTTATAATGAATGTCTCCACGAGCCATTTCTGGGAATTGTCCATAGACACTGATATTTTTATTGTCTTACCTTAATAGGTAAGCTAACGATATGTCATGCTTAATTGCCGTAGCTATTAAGAGTGACACCAATGTCCCGCATCACCTTATTTCCCACGAGTGCTTGGAACAATAGTTTTTATATTTTAGTTGTAATTGTTTTCTTTTTTAGCCCTGCCGATTTTTTATTGCTAATTGCCAGATTATCGTAGTTTTGGGCGACGATTGCGTGAATAGCGGCATTGTCCCGAGAAGATTTGGGCAACTATGCTGCCACACACTGTTATTTATTTTTTTATTCATTCATTCATTCATTCACTTTGGTGGGCTCTGCTCTAAGTCACAAAAAACGTATGACCTCTCCGCGCAAGCCACCCGCAATGTTTCATAAACTTCGAGATTGTCTCAGAGTGTGCAGCTACAATTACGCAGTAGTCCTGGTGCGGAGGCTGCATGTCGATGAAGGTGAAATGCTTGAGGCATATGTACTTTAATTTCCATCGTTAAAGAAGACCGTATGATCAAAGTTTCTGGAGCCCTGCACTTGTGCGGCCCTCATAATCATATCGTAGTTTTATGACGTAACTGAACAATTATTATTCAGTTAATTGTGCAGTACACAAACTCGTGTTAATTCGCAAGCTTAAGCGTGCACCATTGATTACGCTGGAAAGTGCGATCACTACGGTATAAATACAAGATTCGCTCTGCCGATGATCCGATTATCGAATAGCGACGACACTTGTTGCAGATACCAGAGTACAGCGCGCTTATTGCTTGTACATTGAATTGCTTAGTTTTTTTGGCACAAGTTAGCTCATTAATGAGTTTCATTTCAACCAGAGTGACTGCCGCTTACTTTCATAGTCACCACCGCGTGACAATGCAATAGGTCTGAGGCATTTCTGAGGTGCACATGTCCTCTCTCTCAATAAAATTGATTGTACATTAGTGAGTACATAGATAACGAACAGTTTATGCCGACGGGCATGAAGAGTAAGAGAAGAAATATCAACTTGATGCGCTTTATGTAGGCCGGTCTACATACACAATGTTCCACAGAAGTGATTGATTGATTGATTGATTGATTGATATGTGGGGTTTAGCGTCCCAAAACCATCCACAGAAGTGTCGCTACCGGCGTTGTTGCTGCTGTACATCAGTGATTTGGTATTGCAAAACGTCCTTTTATGGACATTATTGTGAGGTATGAAAAAACAAATACTCAGCCCACACCATAAGCATATAGCAGGCACCTTTTATGGACAAGTCAAACTGCACACCGGTATTTGCGCCATGCATACAAAGGCTTCTTGTTGTCGTGTGATTAGATCGCAATCCTCTAGCTAGTTGGCAAACTCATCAGCAACTTCAATCACTTACAGTAATGCCAAACAAGAACCACTGTCAGTGAAGAGTCAACAGAGCTGTCCTTTTAGGCATCTATATCAAACCCTAATAAGTTCTTCAGAAGTAAATTTTGGGACAAAACTGTTTGAGGTACCAACAAATATTTATTTAAAATGGAATTGAGCAGATTTCAGAAATTTTCAAGCCATCGTTATTGTGCACGCACATTTGCTACTAGATTTGGGTGGGGCGGGGGGGTCTAGGGGTCTATCTACAGATTTGCAAATGTAGCGAAGTATCGTAATTACAATTGGCAAGTATCGTATCAGATACATTTCTTGCAACAGTATCTTGTATGTGTATCTCCAATACTATTTGTGTGAGTATCTTGTATCATATTGTGATACAATTTCAAGGTACAGTCGAATCTCATTAATGCGAACACGTTTAATTGGAACTTCCGGTTAATTCAAACTCACGATGAGGTCCCGTCAAAGCTGTGTGTATTTCAATGGGCGAAAACGCGCGGTGATTCGAACGTGCAAGCACTTTCGACGGGTAATTCGAACATACCGCACTCCGAAAATGCTTTCTGCACCCCGCCCAATCCCGCGGCGGCACCTCCGACACCTCAACGCTGAGCTCGAAAGAAAGGAAAAGGAAATAAAAAGCTGTGGTCGAATGTTTGCTTTCTCTCAAATGCCGATTTGTAACGCGCCTGTGCACAGTTCTCTCTTTTCCGAGGCACTGAGTCGTGCTCCCAACCGGGCTGCAGAAATTCGGTACCTTTTCTGCTCTTCTAACCACTACCACACCACCTTTTCCGCCCGAGCCACGTAAAGACCCTTCTCCTTCCAACGCCACGCGCAGAGAGAGAGAGAGAGAGAGAAAAAAAGCTGTCGCGGAGTGTGGTTCTCTCTCATGCGCTGGTGCCACGCTTCCCCCTTTCTCGTCTCTGCTACGTAACCCTTCTTTCAAGGAAACGCGCAAAGAGAGCAAAAAAAAAAAAAAAAAAAAAAAAAAAAAAAAAAATCTGTCGTGGTTGTGGTGGTAGTGGTTAGAAGATGAGAAAGGCACGTAATTTCTGCAACCCGGTCGGGAGCACAGCGCAGTGCCTAAAATTTAAGGCACTGCGCCGTGCTCCCGACCGGGTTACAGAAATTAGGTGCCTTTCTCATCTTCTAACCACTACCACCACCACCACGGCAGCTTTTTTTTGGAGTGTTGGTTTATCTCAAATGCCGATCTGCTTCTCTCCTCGCGGGGACGCTCCTCCTTTCTTGTAACATGCTGGCCACGCTGCGGCTTTGGCGCAGAGGGTAGTAGCGGCGATGCAGTCGTTGTTGTCGTCTTTGCGTGTCGGCGCTGGACATTGCCGTGCACAACTTCTCTTGCCAGGAAAATGCTAAAGCCGAAGTAGACATGCTTTGCAAGCTGCATGCGAAATTGATTGACTCGCTGCAAGGCGAACGTGTGCAGACGTGCATGACCGATTACTTCAAATATTGATGGATGTCCTATGATTTGTGAATCAATGTAAGTCTTCTGAAACTTCCCCCTCGTGTCTTAGCTCAATGAACATGCGCTATTGCATGGGGGAGCCCTCGGTTTACTTAGTAGCTTTCATTACTTCGAACTTTTTTTAATTCAAACAAATTTTTGGGCCCCTTCGAGTTCGAATTATCGAGATTCCACTGTATCTTTGCCCAGCCATGGATGTATATTACAGGGACAATTACATGCGGACGTATATAATTCCCCCTGTAATGGTGCTTTCTTTATAAGTGAGTGGTGCTATATCATGTTGACGCACTAGTTAAAAACTTCTATGACAACATGGAATCGGCAATGAGTAAGGTAAAAACACTATAGGATACTTACGTACGACTTCAATGGTAAAGTAGGGAAGATGCAGGCTGGAGACCAGGCAGTAGGAGATTATGGCATCGATAATAGAAATGCCAGAGGGGAGTTTGTAGTATTAGAATTTGCAGAATGCAATAATTTACGGATCTTGAATACCTTCTACCGAAAACAAGGGAATCGTAAGTGGACATGGCAAAAGTAAGAATGAAAGAGACTTTATACTGAGTGCACACCCAGGCATCGTGCAGAATGTAGAAGTGCTCGGCAAGTTACAATGCAGTGACCATAGAATGGTAAGGTCTCAAATTCGTCTATACTTGAAGAAAGAATGACAGAAACTGATATGCAAAAAGCCAATCAATGAGCTAGCATTGGAAGGGAAAGTACAGGAATTCAGAGCCTCTCTTCAGAACAGATACTCAGCTCTTATCAAGGAAACCAGCCTTAGCATTGACGCAGTGAATGATAATCAGACGAGTATCATTAAAAAGTGTGCAGTAGAAATTGGAGGTACAGTAGTTAGACAGGACACTGGCAAGCTGTCCCGGGTGACCAAGAACCTCATTAAGAAACATGAAAGTCTCAAACACAAAAGACAAAATAGAACTGGCAGAGCATTTGTTGTAAAAGACTACGTCCACCGCGGAGCTGAACCACGAGATTGAAATAACTAGAAGAATAAGAATGGGGTGGAGCACATTCGGCAAGCACTCTCAAATTATGACTAGTAGATTGCCACTATCCCTCAATAGGAAGGTATATAACAGCTGCATCTTGCCGGTACTTACATACGGAGCAGAAACCTGGAGACTTGCAAAGAGGATTCAGCTTATATTGAGCACAACGGAGTGAACAATGGAAAGGAAAATGATAGGCGTCACCTTAAGAGGCAAGAAGAGAGCAGAGTGGATCAGGGAACAAACTGGGGTTAAGGATAATCATAGTTGAAATCAAGAAGAGGAAATGGAAATGGGCCGAGCATGTAGCACGTAGACATGATAACTACTGATCATTAAGGGTGATGACTGGATTCCCAGAGAAAACAAGCAGGTCAGGGGGAGACAGGAAGTTAGGTGGGCAGATGAGATTAGGATGTTTGCGGGTATAAATTGGCAGCAGCAAGCACAGGACCGAGTTGACTGGCGGATCACGGGAGAGGCCTTTGCCGTGCAGTGGATGTAGTTAGGCTGACGATAATGATGATTATATTGTGATTACATTTATCCACGGGAAATCCCCACTGCTGCAAAGCCTCATTTCGAGGTTAAATTAACATACTACCTTCACATATATTCATCACTAAGTTTTAAAGCTTGTAATACTACTGATATGCTTTAATTTTAGCATATATAAAACTTACCATACTTTACAAATTATGACTTTCATGCCATAGAAACTCAAATCGTGCTATTATTCAAAGTTGTTCCCACTTCCTTTGAACAAAGAATTACTTTTTCACATGCCTTGTCTCAATAAAAAAAATATATAGTGCATGGTAGTTGGGTTATGACAAATATGCTAATTACTCTCTATACTATATTATTATACTATTTTATATTTTGTGTAAACTTTTTGAAGTCAGTTTCATTTGAAAATATTTAACCAACTCACTGTTCACTTTTAATTTGCTTTGAACCAAAAGTTTACTACTCACTCAAAGCTAGTATATACAATGCAGAGGGAACAGGAAGATAAAAGAAAGAGCACTCTTTCTTTTAAATAGAGCATCGTACTGAAGGTACTGTCAATCCCAAAAGTTTGTGGGATGTGCAGTGCGTGGTGGAGCGGCGGAAAATTGCATTGCTGCGCTGCCTACTGTGCCGTGGCATCGTGTCGAGGCTACCGTACGCGGCCTCGGTGATTAGCAACGGTGCGTTCAGGCAACATGTCGCAAACTTTTGTGGTTGACGGTACTTTAGCATGCCATAGCTTATAGAAAGCATTTAATTGGGCTGCTACTCCTTGGCTGCTGCCAGAACTAATTTTTTCACTTCACTCTGTGGCGGCACCCGCAGTGGTAGTCCTGGTGAATTCCCACTTTACCTTGCTTGCTAAGTGGAAATACACCCAAAATGCTGCTGCACGCTCATGTAAGTGCTCATTGACTCGCAATCCTGCTCTGCACACATCTGGGAAATTTAATAGAATGGCATCCAGCAGGTCCTGCGGGTTGCACATTTCCCCAATACTGCGAGACCGTGAAGGGGTCAAGGACTGTGAAGTGTCAAAAAGCTAAATTAGCATAATATGCGGCAATCCATCGCATCTATGTCATATTAATTTTGAAGCCAGTATCCAAATGCTAAACTCTCTTTGGCCTCACCTACAAGTCTAAAGACTTTTTCACTTCCCCACAAAAGCCTAGATGAAGTTTATTTGTCTCATTCTTTCATATATTGCGTACGCTTTAACACTTCTAGCCCCTCCTCGGTGGTCTAATGGCTTAAATACTCGGCTGCTGACCCGCAGGTTGCGGGATCGAATCCTGGCTGCGGCGGCTGCATTTTCGATGGAGTCGAAAATGCTGTAGGCCCGTGTTCTCAGATTCGGGCGCACGTTTAAGAACCCCAGAGGGTAAAAATTTCCGGAGCCCTCCACGACAGTGTCTCTCATAATCATATGGTGGTTTTGGGACATTAAACCCCATATATCAATCAATCAAACAATCAGCTATAACACCTTTAGGCACTTTATAGTGAATTACACAGAGCTACTTTCCCAAGCCTTCAAAATAAAATGGCAAGAAATAAAGCTTACTTTAGCTTGAATTGTCTGCAAGCATCAAAATGTTAAAATGAGATTTCAATTAATTTAATTCTTTTATTTGAAGTATTTCAGGTTGCCTATTCTTTCCTGTAAAAACCTATAATTTTATTTATTTTGATCTCAGCCGATGCTTCTGGTAGATTGTGTGGAAAAAAAAGACTACTGTCTGAGCAAACTTTCATTTTACAGCAAAAGCTCTGTGCTAATAAAAGCTGCCTCCAGTTATTTCATTGGCCGTGGTGGTCACTTTTTGGTGGAGGCGAAATGCTATAGGTCCGCATACTGCGCAATGGCAGCGCACATTAAAAAGCACCAGATGGTCAAAGTTTCCAGAGCCCTCCCCTACTGTATGTCTCATAATAATATTGTGTTTTTTTCATGGAAAACTTCAGGTAATAATATTTTTAATAATAATAATAATAATAATAATAATAATAATAATAATAATAATAATAATAATAATAGTAGTAGTAGTAGTAGTAGTAGTAGTAGTAGTAGTAGTAGTAGTAGTAGTAGTAGTAGTAGTGGTAGTAATGGTAGTATTTCATTATCTTTAGCTAGCTGTTGCTACCTCAGTAGTTACTTGATAATTCTGTAATTCTCTGCAGCAACAGCAGCAGTACTGGAACTGGTGGTACTAGCAATGGGAACCCGATGTGTGAGCCTGTCTGTCCCGAAGGATGTGATCAGGGCCAGTGTGTGCGACCAAATGAGTGCAAGTGCAACTTTGGTTACGTTGGGCTCAACTGCTCCATACTCTGCCACTGCAATGGTCACAGCGATTGTGCCGGCCCTGACCACTTGGATGTTTGCACAAAGTGCCACAACCACACGAAGGTAAGAAGGCGACAACAGTTCATCTTCTCCCTTAGTGCAGTTATCGAGCTGAAGCTTTTCGTATTAGTCATTTGAAGTTTAAAGTTTGTATGACAGGTATGCTACAAATGACAAAACCTTATCGGAGTGGACAGTTCTACGGGTCATTTGGTTCACAGTGCCCATGAATATTGTTAACACATGACAGTGTTATCTTACTTAAGCTGGATTTCAGAAACATTTACTGCAATAAGATCTCGTTGCAGTGATCGTCCCAAAGCCACGAAGCTTACTTTGTTATATCGAAAGAGAGGGAAATCGACAGTCGTGCATTTTGTAGCATGAAGCCACTAGGAAAGCTCTGGTAGTCAAGCTTCTTAGAGGCTGAAAACGTGATCTTGGTCAAGGGATCAAACCTGAGACCAATGCCTGTCCGGGGAGGTCGTTCTACGAATTGAGCTAATGTGGATGCTGGCACTCATTATTATTATTATTATTATTATTATTATTATTATTATTATTATTACTACTACTACTACTATTTGGTTTGAGTACATAGAAAACACGAAGACAGAGGAAATAGGGAGGGAACAGGCTGACAACTGCCATCTATAGGGGCACAACGCCTGCCTGTTGCTTTGGGAAGGGGGGGCATAGAGGAAATTAGAGAAGAAAGGAGAGGGAAGAGGAAAACTTAAAAAAGAGAAAAACACACACACACACAAAATAGTCACATGAAAATTTTTTATAAAGGTGGCGCCAAGTCCGTTTTCGTTAAGAAAGTTAAAAGGGCTCTATGTGCCTGGTCACGTCTAGAAGCTCATCCTCCTGGGAACAAGCAATCGTCGAGGGTCGTGTATCTAATCAATCAATCCATAGTCCAGTGTCCAATCAATGCATAGTCCTTTTTGAGTAGTGCTTTTTGTATAACAAATTTAGGGCACTCTAAAATTACGTGTTTTAGTGTCTCACAGGAGCCACACAACGAACACATCGGACTGCCAGCACGTCCTTGACGGTGTAATTGTTCGCGCACTGATACAGAACCAACTTGTAGCTTGTATAACAAGCTCTCTGCTGCAGCGCGAGGGCAAATAAATCGACAACTTAAAGTACATGGACAGATATTATCGTAGTATATTGAGATATCGTACTAATACCGAACAGTCATTGTTTTGGTGCCAATAATGTAACACAGTTTAAACTATCTATCTTTGCAGCAGTTGCATGTGTTTGTACTTAAATAATAAACAAAGCACATTGCACTGTCCGACTACTATTTATTGCTTGAAGAAGTTTGCTATCTGTAAGTAAACGAGTGCAGTAGGAGGAATGCCTCGTCATTTCAGACCTTCTTGTGAATCACATTGGGGACATTATTGCAATAACATAGAAATTTTCGGGTCTTCTCAAGGAAACCTAGAACATTCCAAGCTGGAAACAGTATTTTCCTGTTCGTTGCTTTATTCAATGTTCGCATCTTCAGGGTTTGCTTTTCCATTCTACTTGCGTATGCACTTAACTCATGATGTGTTTGCTAGTGATTTCCATGGACATAGCCGACGTGCTATGAGCAATAACGTCAAAAGTTTCCACAATGTCTACGTTGAGCTTATCAGCAATATCATTTCACAGTTTTCGGTTGAACTTCTCTGTGTTTTTGTAGTCTCATGGCATTGGTGAAGCCTGCAAAAGGCCTGCCTTTCACCAGCTGTTGCTGATAAGGCTTGCCTTGACATTCCGCCATGCCATTTAAGCATTTCTACAGCTTAACGTATGTTGATTTTTCGGGGAAGCATCAGTCAAATATTTATCAGTGGGCACTGTGCAAGATACGTCTGCAATCAATGTTCACCCATCTGATACCCTGGCCCGAAGGTTGGAGCAAAGAAGTGCAATTGGGGGGCGCAAACTCAAGTTGCACATCTTTAAGTCACATTAACCATATGTGCCAAGCAGTTCTTAACAGTGAGAAGAATTTTTTATTCTTTCTGCTTCATTGTGTTGTCAGACTGCAGCTACCACTGCATGAACAGATTGTACATTATCCACGCATTCTTGTCTCAAAGCAGTGGGATATTTTTTGAGAAGACTTGCCAGTAACTATCGCCTTGAGTTTTACTGTGCCTGTGTAAACCACTTTTATAAATGCTTTTTAATGGACGCTGAAGGTGAATATCAGTTGGTGCTATGCTAATACAGTTAAAGCTCGTTAATTCACACCTCATTAATTCGAAATTTTGGATAATTCGAAATAGTCACCGCAGTCCTGTCCGCAGTGCATAGGAGACCATGTGTAAAACGATTCGTTAATTCGAACAGAAATTGTTGCCTCTACGGATAATTCGAAGCACGCGCCGCCGAGCGTCATCATCGTCAAACACTAGTGGAAGCTTTTACGGTCGAACGATAGGTGGCACGACCAGTTTTTTCGAGCTTCAAGTGGCCTCCGAGCAAAGGGCGAGCAAAGTATGGCCTCCAAAATCCAGGGAGCAATTTTTTTTTCGTAGCCCTCCCGCTTTCTCAGCGCCTGGCGCCACTTGTACGCGGGAACCATGGGACGCTGAGGAGTCCGCGGAGTAGTCATAGCAGTCCTAGGCCGCTCCCGGCAGCGTCACTTTGTTCCTCGAGCACGTTGTTCGTTCACGAATGATTTTGTGCGCGGGCGACAGGAAGGACTTCGGTATTGCGCTGCTCACTGCCATGCACATGTTGGTGCGCGCATGGGAACAGGTGACCGCGACCACAATCGCAAACTGTTTCCGCCACAGTGGATTTGCAGCTGGAAGTGCGCAAAATAGTTGTGACGTCGACGTGGATGGGGCTGAGGAGCTCATGCCAGTGGCATTGCGCGACACTCTTCGGGGCATACGTTTTGCCGATTATGTTGAAGTTGACACCGGTGCATCGATGTGTGGTGCCCTGACTGATCAGGACATTATCGCTCAAGTAGCCAGTGTGCAGCCTGATGCTGAAGAGCCAGAAGGTGAGGAAGACGAAAATGACGAAGCGCCTGTGCGCCCGTCAGCTTCTGCGGTGATGGAGGCACTTAATGTGGCGCATCTCTTCTTCAGCTTTGAAGAGGGTGAAGAGGATTCCCTGCGCCGCGTCCGCGCGCTGGAACAGGGAGCCGCAGCTGTGGCATTCAGAGAAAAGAAGCAGATGGTCATCACCGACTTTTTTGGCCAATAAATATTTTTCGTGCCCCCACCCTTGAAATCCACCCATTTTTGCTCACTTTCATTATTTTGAATTTTATTTAATTCGAAATTGCTCAGTGTTCCCGTGGAATTCGAATTAACGAGCTTTTACTGTAGCTTTCTTCAGAATGTTCAGTGAATAATGTTGACCACAACGCTTTAGTAATTGACAGGTTAAAGTAGATATGAAAGAGAAAGTGTCACCCTAGTGAAACGTTATACAGTTATACCTGGATATAATGAAATTGACAAATTCCTAGAAAAATTCCTTATAAAGAGGATTTTGTTATATGCAGGTTCAGTGCAAAAATTTTGAAAAATAAACTCCAAAATAAACCAAAAGGGAATTGAAGGCAGAGCTAACCCAAAACACTTATTTAGCGGTAAAAAACTGCATTATTATTGCGATAAAGATTATATGGACACTCGGTGGATTTTGCTGTCGCCACAGTCTTTCCTAAATGTTTAAACTGACAACATGCCCCCGTATATCGTAACTTTTACGAACGGGTGAAAGCGCGAGCGCTGCTGAAGCAAAAAATAAAATTAACTGGCCCATCTCTGTCACCTAGGGGGCACACACGATAATATCCCCCCGCCTGTTAGAACTGCCGTCGAATGCTCAAACAGAACGGAAACCACCTCTATTGAACGAGCATAGATAAACGGACTGCCAGGTAGCGCCGTTTTGTTTGGCTGGCTGCATACAGTGCTCCGCTTTCACATGTTCTTGGCCCGTTACCGGGCCCCGCCCGTGTCTGGACAAGCTCACTATTCCTTCTAGAAGACTTCCGGGACACGCCGACACCATCCGCGCCCCGGTCCGACCCCAGACTGGCCCTCCAGGCCCCTTCAAAAGTACGAAGCGGCGCGGCGCCGCGCTAACCCTAACTTGCCGCGCCTGCACCTCCACAATGCTGCGTCCCGGCCAGCACTCGACACCAACGACAACTGACGCCCTGTCGGTAAGCCCAGCCTTCTCCGGTCGTACTGCTGATACAGCCGTGCCTTCGCTGTCAACATCTGGCAATGTCACCAGGGCCGCGCCGACAACAATACGCACGGTCCAGCAACGTGAAACGCTGGTGGCGTCTCTGCTACTCCCAGCTTGATAGCCACGCAAACGCCGGAGACCGAGAGCCGTAATGCAGCGTTGGCGTTGCAATCAACCACGCCTGCTGCTCTTCCCACCTTATCTGCGTCTGGCCTACCCATTGGAAATTCCGAGTCTGTCGACAAGCGCGTTTCGACGAGCATCGTTCCTTCCATCGCCGAAGTTTTGCCTTCCATCACTTCAGCTGGCGACTTATCGACGGAAATGGACTTCACGGCGTCGCAGGTCAACGAAGACAATACGCCATCCCCTGAAGGCAGCTGGAACACCGTTAGGGCCAATCGAAAACTTGCCTCGACCGCCCACCCCCGCTCTGAGCTCATCACCGTCAGAATCCAACTTGCACCCAGAACACTCATGCCCAAACTGCCTCTCTATGACCTGCTTTCTATCATCATAGTCGCCGGCAAATCTCTCTCCCAAGACCAGTGCGGAGGTCACCCTTCAGGCCAAGCCTGCTCAGAGCCTTGTGTTTCTCAAAACGCACTCACCTCTCACTTCCCACCTCCTACTCTCCCCCACAAGTCTGGAACTTAATGGTAAGCCGATCACCATTAAGCCCTATGCCCCCAGTCCTCCAATATCATGTCTCGGCGTCATACACAACGTCGGTGGTCACTTCACATCATCTCAGCTCTTGCATGACCTCAAATCCTTTACTTCAGACATACTCGCTGCACGTATGATGGGCTCCACTGAATCCGTCC